CTAAGTCCCACCCGGTTGTTAAGGTCCGGCTGGGACTTAGTTAAGTTTGCCTCGAAACAGGAAATTGATCGTCAGTTGCATTCTGGAATGCAAATACTTATATAGTATCCAGACTCAGGCTCAACTGGGCATGACTGAAATAAACCCTGACAATAAACAAACATACTTCAACAACTGATTTAGAGCCCAGCTGGAGAGAGAAGCCGCAAGAGGTGTGAAGGGGACCCCCAGGGAAGTTTGTGAATTAGACGTCTACATATTCTCATAGGCCATCAGTCGCCTATAGTTTCGACGTTGTGGTTCTGCGCGTTCAATATTGCTGGCATCAGTTAGGATAGACATCGCAAATCGTCACAATGATAAGACTTCTGGTACCATTCCCTGTTAGAACTAGAGAGACTTTGACGCAATGAAAGGACTCGTGAAGATGACCGGAGGCAGGTATTCGCGTGCCCAAGGTTTTTCATCGCTTAACACTTGAATAAAGCAACTGCCTATGTCGAACTGGACTCACAGTCGATTGTCCATTAAAAGTCAAACCGAGGTCAAGGTCCCTCGCATTTCACCTTCAACGGTTCTTAGGTGATTATATGGCAGATTATTCCTCAAAACCGTGCAAAGAAGTGGCAGATGGGCTTACGAAAGCGTATTTGAAGTAGCATTGCAAGCTACAAAATGTCTATCCACCGGTCGCACACGACACCCACCCATATAAAATGTGCGGATTGGACATGAAGCACATCCGCTTGGATGAAGTCAGGTGGGTTACTTTCTTCACGCTGACATCTGATCTTTCAACTGTTCCTCTCGCCTCCCGCCTCAAAGCTTGTTGCGAGATTTAGATGTCTTCAGCCAAAGTTAGCATGTGAAATATTCCGCAAGTTGGCTTAAGCAACATCCTTCACGAAACTGGATGCAAGTAAGTAAGTGATTCTGGCTTAAATTGAAATATTCTCTGATGCTGTTTGACTTCGGCGCCCTGCTTGAACTTCCTAAGTCACCGGCTGAGACTTGATTGTTACTGACATCTTCTAGTAGGTTCTCAATATCTTACAAAAGCAGTCTAAGCGGGATCGATGTATTTTTATCTCAAGATGAGCGTAGAAATCTGTCGGGGTTCGGGTTACGTCAACAGGAAAGACACAAATATCATATCATTCCGGATCAGCTTGATGAACCTATACAAAAGCTCTGGAAAACAATCCTGTGTTTATTTCAGAGCACGGGGAATTCTCGGATGCAGCTCACAGCGCCGGTAGGCATATATTGGTGAAGGCGCTTGAGATTATCTCTCGAAGAAAGATAATATAATGGTATATGAAGGTAAGGCTGACGACTACTGTACCAAGAGTATCAGTTATGATTGATTGAGGTATGGTTTGTAGCATTCAGTGTTTTTCTCATCGGATAAGGCCGTGTAAAGGGAAAATAAGAAATCTGCTCAAATCCACAATGGCAAGGTATAGGCACCTCTGCCCCCCCAATCCCAGCGACGCTTCAACAGCGCGCGCAACTACCTATTGTTTGATCTGAGACAACAGGAGCTCTGCTGAGAAAGTGCAAAGACCTAATTAGGAGTGCAAACTCCGAGAGCTAGGAAGTATTCGGCCAACTTGCTAAGCTTATTAGAAAAGGAACATTGGCAAGATCTCATCCTTCATCAAGGCTACTGGAGCAGAAGACTCATGCAATGAAAAAGTAGCTGCTGTTGGGACGTTTCAATGACCCCTTCATCATCCATCAATCAAAAAGTGACTTTCGGGAAGTATCATGTAACTAGGTTCAACATCACGCTGAGCGTTTGAAGAAGGTGAAAGGATACTTGGGCGCTATGATATATAATGTAACACTTACAGACAAGGATGTGTTGTTCGAAGCTACGATACGGTGATCATTGCGAAGAAGAAGTTACATCACAGGCACTCCTTTTAACACAGGAGAGGTTTACAGGGGCAAACTCAATCACTCAACCATGTTGTTAACGTCCCTGGGGGATAGATTCCACTAAGACTAACCATTCCATCAACCAAAAATTCATCGCATGTATCTGAGTTTGAGGACAACGTGATTATAACAACTTCTGAAATATCATCTTCTTTCAATAAATAAGATAAGACAAGTGAGTGAATTCATACCCATAATTTTGATCCCAAAATAGGAGGATTAAGAACATAAGTATGTAGCACATTAGATGGTTTAAATGTGGAATTTCCAAAGTTTAAATGTGACTAGGCTGCTCAAGGAATTTGACCATATATATGGCTAAAGAATTGAAAATAAATTACTCAGAGATGTAATGAAACTCATTCTGCAATGATCTTTAACCTGGTTTGAAATTGGTCAAGAAGGTATTGAGCAAAGCATTGTCAACATTAGCAAGAAGAGTGATTATCATTGGATTCTCCCTTCTCTTGCGACAATACAATGTGCCTTCCACTTATTGGCAAGGGTGCAAGACACGATGGTCATTTCCTATGTTTTTAGATACATACCAACCATGACCAGAAGAATTTTTCTATTTAACAGAAGACCTCTCTTATTTCGCATATTTTCTGATTCATTTCGTCAGTGATCTTTGCGATGACCTCAAACCCTCTGTGAGAAGTAGGCTTTTCATGACTCTGATTAGTTGATTTGGTTTGTCTGACCCGTTGATGACCCTCTCCTGACCTTTTTTCTCTGTTGGCTTATGAGTTCTGGGGATTTATATTCTAGGAGGTGGCTAAACGTCTATTTCCTCATCTATAACGCCGCTCAGGTATGCTTCGACCACATCCTATCAGTCTAGCAAACATAATGCCATGAGAAGGCGCCGGGCACAAGCCAGCCAAGCATAACTTATATAAGCTTATATCCCCACAATTCGCCGGAAGCCCATTGCCATCAATCTGAGCTATCGGAATCGGATTTGAGCTTTACTATAAATATCTACTTTAAACCAATTGTTGTTTGGCCGCACCTCCCTAACGGTTCAAGCTGGTTCGAGTGTTACAAAAGAAACCTCTTAAAAGATTAATTCATGAGCCATTTTCTTGATCAGGCGTTGTGGATGAGGTTAAAGTAAGATATCAATGATCTGGCTTCCAAAATCTATTTACTAGATTGTATTTTGAATTTCTTTACATTTTCCGCCATTTTGAGGAGGATGGATCTCAGAGGCTTGATGTTTGTGTAGCTAGCGGGATCTATGTTGATTATTTAGATGACGATTGAATTGAATTTATGTATAGTATTAGAATGTGATATATGTGATTGTACTATGTGATATGTGTGTTATATGATCTGTGATTAAGTTGTGTAATCTTGACCTGAATTGTGTTGAGTCTCTCTTCTGAGTTGAACTTGAAGCTAATCTTTCTATCACGGACTTTCACTTAACCCTCTCGTCCGTCTTCTCATCCCTTATCCTCACTTGGAACCTCCTCTCAACTTCCGATGGAGTTCTCTTCTCCGTCTAACTCTGATAGAACAGCAGCTCAACCTGAGAATCTATCCCCGACCAGTCAAGATGATGAACCATCTGTACGTGCTTTGATGACTGTTTCTATACCTGGTGCCTTTCTTACAATGAATATGAATACTGTCTTCTTTAGTTTTTTGTTGAGGCGTTATACGCTTTCAATGGTAGCGACACTGCATCCCTCTCGTTCCAAAAGGGTGATATCATAGAAGTTTTAACCCAGCTGAGCTCTGGTGAGCAGTTCCTGCTTCAAGCACTTCGATCTTATACGTTCCCCTGACCAACATGAATATCTTTTTTCGGATACATTTGACTTTGACTCTCTAGGCTGGTGGGATGGTGTTGTTTGGCGACAAAGAGAACGCGGCTGGTTCCCGAGTAATTACGTCCGACGCATCAGTGATAAAGAAGCGGAATCAGCTAGGGCACAGCTTGACATTGCTCTCAATCAAATCAAACCCGAAGATGACTTATCTAGCAACACTTTAAGCCGAGATCCATCAACATCATATTCTTCTCGAATGAGTGTTGCCAGTAGTATTTGGGATGGTCATGGTCAGATGAATGAGACCGAACTCAACTCAAGCACCCCGAACTCACAGAACGTCATCAACAACCTTGAAGATGAATCACCTGATAAAGTAAATCAAACTTTGGAATCTCCATCGCCATCACAGCAACAGCAACAGATGGCCGACTGGGTTGATTGGCTTCCAAGAGTGACTAACAACGGTCAGATACACTATTACAATTCACTCACAGGAGAAATGGCCTCGGAGATGCCATCAGCCGATGATGATCCCGATTATGATGACTCACGCCCTCCATCAACGTACATGGGTTCCGTCGGTCGTTCTCAATTCCTTCGTCGCGATTCACTCGCTTTTCTCGAGGACCATGGCTTTGGGCCTGAACAACTTTCACGACATGGCTTATTGCCATCCATCACCGACAAGTCTCATCTTGCATCGACCGACATGAGGAACCGCGCTCGCTCTGTCGGCCATCCCAGTGCCAGTATCAGTAGCAAAAACCGCCTGAGTACCTCGACCCTCACTGATGGCAACTCCCTCTTGACTAATCGAATCACAAACAACGTGGCATCAGGCTCTTTGAGTCACCGGAACTCCTATGAGAGTTCCATTTCGCATCGTCCCACGTCACTCCCCCGATCTGTCCACGAAGATCAAATCGATATGATTACTGATCGGTCTGACAAACTTGAGTCTGTAAATGCACGATCACGAACCCATTCTGCTAGGCATTCGGCGGGACGCTCTGTGGATCTATCCACGTCTTTTTCCTCGTCAGATCTTGACCGCTCGGGGTCAGATGTATTCTCAATCTCCGATCAAATCAAGTCAAGACTGCGATCGTCCTTGGCTCTTCCTTCAGCGCCTACTCTTAAAGACCTCAGGGCGGAAGTTCAGGCGGCTATCGATGCTATCACTGATATTACTGCTCCTTATCCTGATGAGTACCTTGCGAAGCTACTGGCTTCCAATTCGAATCAGCACCCTTTGACCGAGCTTGGAACTATCGCCCTTCGAGATCGTCTTTCGGCTGGATCGTTGAACCTCGGGTCAAAGATTCGCGCAATGCTACAGGCCAGCTGTCAATTAGACACTGCAGTTTTCTCTGCTTCGCGCAATTCGTTCCCCTCAGTCGGCCATACAGTTTTTCCCAGTCCGGTGGCTCCGTCGATTGCGCCTTCAACGTCCTCTTACCTCAGCCAGCTAGACTCCAACTCACCTATCGTACCACCTTCACCCTCCACTTCTTTTGCTTCTACGATCCATCACACAATCTATCCAGAGCTGAAGCCTCTTACTCGGAAAATAGCTTCCACATTATCCAAGCTCACACTTTCTACTCGTGCCCTTTGGGGACTGCTATCTACACCTCCAAGCGTCCCGTCCGCTCCAGAAGACCCCAACCAGCTCACCGGTCAATTTTCTGATCCAACTGATATCACGCAAGCTCAAGTCGATCAAAAATTCACATTACAGATGCGATTTAGTTTGGAACAGAAGTTGAGATCAGAATGCAAAATGGGCATAACTGATATATCTGCCAACGTCGATTTATTCTTCAATCACTTGGAATTGCTTCTGGCAGAGAGTAAGAATAGTGAACTGTCTCAGTCCGTCAATACTTCCTCGCCTTCCTATCACGCTCCTCGACATGCATCTGCACATTTAAGTATGCCCCTCGATTCTGTCTTCCTACCTGGTGGCACAAAAGGTGGTAATTGGAAAGCATCTGGCTTCGACACATCCAATAGTTTCATGACACAATCTTCATCGCAATCATCGCTAGCGTCACCTTCTGACAGAGTATCCAGATCGTCTACTATATTCACAAACCCACCAAATATACGGTTGACTTCAGATTGGTTCAACCAACAGATCGCCCCATTGATACTCGAAGCCATTGATATGTCCAAGGCAATTATAGATATTTGGTCGCGTGAAAGTGAACAAGACGCGAACCAAGGATCAGCAGCTTCAACTGCGCATCACAATATGAATCTCGCATCTCATGATGCCCAGGACTGGTTGGACACCTTGTTTTCGCATGTGTCAGAATTAATGGACTCGACTGGAACTTTGATGGCAAAGCTAGAGATGATTAATGTATCGTTTAGCTTGAATGTGGATTTGGATCAGTTTTTATGGCTCGATTCGCAACGTGCTTCAATGCACAATGCCCCTCCCGGAGTCCCGCCAGTCGAATATACGACAGAGACTTTGAAACGCTTGCACTCGAGTCGACATTTGGTGGATGAATACCAGAAAGCTAAGCAGGGTCTCTACGACTTGGTCGCTGAACTTGCCCAAGCTTCTCATGCACTCATCACCTCTTCGGATAACTGTGGATCTGTACCTGCGAGGTCTCACGCTCAGCCACCTTCTGCTTCACCACTCTTCGCCATCTATACACCGCTCCCCAATGAACTTCCTGTATCATCTCTGTCGACCGTATTAAGCCGCCTCGCTATTGGATATGAAAATTTGAAAACAGCTTCTCAGGCGCTTGCTGCCGAAGCCGATGCGCAATCAAAGCTCAGTTCAGACTTTGGACATAATCAAGCTGTCAAACAATTTCTCACCACGCGCACTATTCCCAAACGTGTAACCCCTACACACAGTTCTGTGACCAAAGCTATCGAGAGTCCGAAGGGACCTCGACGTTGTAACAGCTTGCACGGTGTAGGTCTAGCTATCAGCAATACCTCCTGCCCCTCCTCGCCCAAACTACAACGACTGTCGAGAGGTATTGACGAGGAGCAAGCTGAAGACGAGACGTCATATGATTATTCGACGCAAGATACTTCAACCGAATTGACGTCTAGTCTTGCCTGTGGCCAAAAGCTACATCCTTCAAGCTTTACATCTGCAGGGAGTCTGGAAACTGCGGACAGGGTGTCCATGGAAAGTTCGAAGAGAACATCTTTAGCAGCGGCATCGGTTTGGTCCCGTCGGACTTCTTCTTCAGCAAGATCGGATAAAAGTTTAGATTGTCTCGCCAATTTCAAAGGTCAACCTCTCGATCTTCCTGCGCTCTCGAACGATGGCGATCGTCCAACATCAGGTGTGTGATGCATGATCTCAGAGGTCTAAGTGATATTGATCATGGATTGTTTATTTTCGTTTAGGCTCATCTCGATCTCCCACAAGGTCGAGGAAGTTGGCCAAATTTTTTGGAGAAGACACTGCTGGTCAAATCGTCGGAGCACAGCCGGCATCCGCTAAGCCAGCGTTCTTGATGCCAGACTACGCCGTGGAAGATATCTCCTTTAACGTTGATAATCAAGTTCGGGGTGGAAGCCTGAGAGGCCTGGTCATCAAACTCACATCTCATGAAGGACGTAAGCCGGCACAAATTACATTCTCAAACACTGTTGAATGCTAAATTGACGTGCGCGATGTATTTACAGCCGATGTACCTTTCTTGCGGGTCTTTCTTATGACCTATCGCACGTTCACAACATCGCACGATTTCCTTAATCTGCTGTTTGAGCGTTATCATCAACAACCACCGCCAGACCTCACAGCAGATGAATTGAAGATGTGGTCGGATCAAAAACAGAAGGTGATTAAAATTCGGTAAGTATCACTTTTCCACTTGTCGCCAAGCTACCGGCTGACTGGTTTTCATCAGTGTGGTCAATGTGATGAGAACTTGGATAGAATCACATCTATCCGACGAGGACGCCGAGGGCATATTGCAAAGGATTATCGAGTTTGCCACTCGAGATATGGGTGACTCGAGCTTGTCTAAGCAGATCACTCTAACATGTGAGAGACGAGTGAGTTATGTTTTACTACTTCACAATATCAAAGCACTTGTTCAGCAGGAATAAACGTTTTCACCCAAATATCCAGCAATCGCGAGGACCCTCATCCAAACTCCTGCCAGTCCCATCCGGAAATCCACCACCCACAATCGTTCCCCGAAATACTCGCAAGATCAAATTCCTCGACATTGATCCCCTCGAGTTGGCCAGGCAGTTGTCTCTCGTGGAATCTAAACTTTTCTGTCAAATTCAAGTAAATGAGTGCTTAGGTAAAGCATGGCCTAAGGAGTTTGCTAAGGAGGGAACGCCTCATATCACCGCAATGATTGATATGAGTAATGCGGTGAGTGATTCTAGACATTGCGTTGATCTCATGACACTTAAACATTGGTAGCTGACGTATGATTTCATAATGCATAGCTTACTCGTTGGGTCGCAGAGACGATTCTTAGCCAGCCTGAACAGAAGAAGCGTGCAAATACCATCAAACACTTCATCTTGATAGCTGAAGTGAGATATCCCATTCTATCGTGTCTGTTTATATGCTCACTCACGATCTTTTCGCTGTCTTTTCCGTGATCGACTTATTCCGATAGCGATGCCGCAACCTCAATAACTTCTCGACTCTGATGCAAATTATCGCTGGTTTGAATTCGACCCCGATCTACCGATTACGGAGAACATGGGAGACGATTCCTCACAAAATCTTGACTTTGTTTGGCCAGTTAGGCGCTGTGATGAGCCCAACAAAGAACTATGCTACTTATCGGGACACTATAAGGAACATGGCACCACCATGTGTCCCCTTTGTGGGTAAGTGGGTTTAACTTACTCAAGTTCCACCTCCGAAACCGCCTAATATGACCGTCGGTATCCAATTAGGTGTTTATCTCACCGATTGGACTTTCATTGGAGATGGAAATCCAGATAATCTTCGAGAAAAGCCACATCAAATCAATTTCAACAAACGTCAAAAAGCTGCTGAATTGATCGTTCAAATTCAATCTTATCAATCTATGCCATATCAATTAACACCCGTACCTGTGATTGTCAAATTTCTTGAAGAAAGTCTTGACAATCCACGTGATGAGAAAGAGTTATATGACATGAGTTTAGATATTGAACCCCGTGAACGAGATGATGAAAAAATTGCTCGGCTATTAGCAGAGGTAGGTTTCGATTCTCAGATAACAAATGCCTGGAAATTTGACCTCGCTGACGATTTTTTCCTTTGTCAGTCTGGCTTCCTTTGATTTACAAGGATCAAGTCAAAGTCAATTTCCCATTCCTTCTTATCAAACAAATACCCATCGTGGCATTCGGAATTCTCCATCCTCAGCCTCTTCGTTATATGTTCGATGACTATCTCTTTGATGATCTGATGGCCTATTCTTCTTTCATCTATATGAATTGTAAAATGTGATACATAATGATTTCATTTTCGTTGGCTTCGTTTGCACTTGGTTTGATACATATCTCAATGATTTATCGAAAAAAGAGGCTGATACAAAAAGATTCCTAAAATCTAAGCTTGTAGTCTCTTTTTACCTTTGTCTGCATCTCTTCTGCCTTGGATCATTTTTTTGTTTTTTGTAGTAATTAGTAGTTGATAGAATTTTTATATTCATGAGCTTATATGATATAGTTCATGTGTAATGTTGTGATTTTGTTTGTTTGTGTGTGATTTTATTGAATTTCTTTTGTTTCTATATAGCTGGTCCCCCAGGTTTTTTTGGTTGTTTGTCTTTGTGATAATGTTTGTGTGAAAATCAGTTCTCAATTTTCTGGAATGAAATTACATCTCTCGTATATGTTGATTTGGTGATCAAGAAAAGCATTCAATGATGAAGATTTTTTGAAAAAATATGAAAACCTTTCCAAAATTGATCATACATATCTTGTATAAAAAGGCATCAAAAATATGTGGTAATTAATTTGAACTGAGGCTGCCCAAACAGAATGCTAGATGACTCGGAAGACGAAGATCAGAAAATGAATATAATGTTAATTCGCACATTCTGTAATTGGATAAGTAGTTTGTATCAAACCTCTTCAAGCTGCCATGTGTTTTTCAATGTTACTTATCATGGAAGCATCTTGATGTATGAAGGATATTTCAGTATATACTTCTCAATCTAGTCCTATCCATTACCAAACCACTGACTTTCACCCAAAAATGTCTACCTAATGAAAAGTTTGAAAAGTTCTTTCCATATATTATCAGGTCCATGCTTAATCTTTCTCCCAAGCCCTGGGAATTTCTGTTTTGTAGACAAGTGCATTGAAATAATTCGGAAGAAAAGATCAGACCCCACAACAAAGAAGGTCATAAACGTATCCCCAATCCATCTTCCCTTGAAGAATTTTAGATAAAATGGTCACTCAAGGGTACCTCAATAATTCAATTGTCCATGAAACACCCATCATCAGCCACCCTCTAGACTTGTCTGATTGCTTTGTTGTTGCTTCTGAGAAAGATCATCAATAAGGATATACTATTACCATCCACAGCTATGAGCAGTACTAATAGGCATTTAGGACAAACTCACCATCTTTCAACATGTCAAGTTCCTTTTGATCATCTGGATGACTGTTCTTGTCTGTCATTCGAGCTTGAGATTTGAGGGGGAGATTAATCATTGAAAAAATATGAAGGGGTTCATAAAATTTGATTTGGAAAACACATACTGCACGGCCATCTAGTCTTTCCCTATGTGATTTTGTTGTCTGACTTGTTGCAAAAAAAAGATTCAAGAACTTGTCTTTGAAAAAGCTGATAGTCATTGACAAACAACTGAACGTACAAAGCTACCCTGTTTTGAGAGGAAAAAAGGAGTACCAGATCAATCTCCAAGAAATTGAATCTCGTCTCAAGGTTCCAAATGACTCTAGAGTGAATTAGTCCAAGGTAGAAGTATCGACAGTTCTTTCCGGCGGCAGGCAAAGACATCAAACCGTACTACCACAATCTTATCATCCAAATTTGTGATGAAATCTCCGACAAACTTAAAGTTTGGGGTCTGCATTTGTCTCAACGTCAGACTTTGCTCTTGCCTCCCAAGTCCCTGGGATGACAGCTCTTGCTTCCAAGTTGCTGATCTGGTGTACCTCTTAACGGAGTCCTTGCCCTCAGGAGATCCCGTACATGTTGCATTCACTAAAAAAGTCTGAATTACTCGGACTAACAAACAATCGCTTTCCCAAAGTGTGTGGTATTGGGATACAAAACAGATTTATGTCAGATTTTGATCCAAAGACGTGTCCACTTTATCTAGCTTATGTATTATCTCTGGAGGGTTTTCTCTAGCAGGTGTAAAGCATTTCATGGTTTGAATTGCTTTCCAGGTTGTGCGGTTTTCCCTAGGCAAACCCAACTCTTCCCCTAAGGGAATGCATTAGGTTTCTTGGAGGTGCCCCCCAGCCATGAGGTACCGGGGGGTAGGACAACCGGGCCTCCGTAGATGGGGTGCTCTGCACAGTGTGGTGATCAATTTAAGGGATCAATCAAAAAATTCATTATTAGTAGTTTACCAGTTTACCAGAAAATTTGAAATGGAGGTTTTTGGATCAATTGAAGCTCTTATGGGCTTATGTATTGGTCATTGGGTTAACATTACATCATTTTATTTCACATTACTTATTAAGATCATTAAAGTACGATGGACCAGAGAGGAGGGTGGAGGACAAACCCCAAACCCCAAACCCCAAACCCGGTACAGACTGTACAGACTGTACAGCTTGTTAGTCACTACACAACGTACCCTTTACCCACAGTTACACGCCCTCACCACAAAACCAATTTTGTGCACAGATCGCCATTTTGTTCAGCAATGAGAATGATGTATTGTTATCCATGCCCACACGCACTTCTGATTATATACTCTTGATCACTGTCCACCTCTTACAAGCCTTGAGGCGTGATCCATCTATGTGTCTGGTTTGCAACACAGACCACCTTGTACCGCTTGAAATTAATGATGCGTCTTCATTTTTTGGGAGTTTGTTTTCTGATCAACTTTCTCTAAATACTTAGTTCAATTGATCATCTTTGCTTCATTTTCTAACAATGGCTCCAAGTATACCTAATCCCGATCTTGATTCTCCTCTATGTCGTTGTTGTGGTGAAGATTACCCAGGTAGAAATACGACTCGACTGATTTGTGACCCATGTCAATGGAATAAGGACAACCCAACCGGCATCAACAAAATGGTACCTTGTCTTTTCTGCTCAGCCCAGTTTGAGGTCCTCAACACTCGATTGTGTGGTCGATGCAAGAAAAATCCAAAGGCAGTTGCGTTTCTTAATCAAGCCTCTGGGCCAGATCTCAATCCAGCATCTTGTCCATCACCAGCTAAATCAATCATGTCGCCAAACAATCTCAGTTCTCAACACTGCTTTATCTCACCATCCAAGACATCTATCACCTCAAGTTATCAACCTTTGATCCATTCCAGATCTTCACTTACCTCAAGCTCTCACACATTGGCACCGCTTGCACTCAACACGGCTACACCCGCCTCAGCTCATTATGGAATGCAAGTTGAGAATAGTGTTCAAAGAGCAATTGCACAGGCTAATGAGCTTCAATCTCGCCAACGTCAACTGCAAATTTCTAATTATCAAAGGGGAGCTGTTCCATACCCATCCAATCCTGAAGCCAGAGGATCTGCAAGATCAAAGATGAAGAGAGGATTGGAATCAAAGCAACAAAAAACCACTGGATTTATAAAGATCAACCTTGCTTATATTCTTAATTCTGAACTCATTGAAACTGAATTAATTGGTTCAAGCTTTGATTATGATCTCTCAAAGACACATTGGATGCTTGATTTGACTACCGAGGTCTGTGATTACTTTAGAGATCATCCAACTTTTCCCTCACCTCAACAAGTATCTGAGCTTGAACTTCATAGCCTACCACCTTATTATAAAGACTGGTACTACCTAGGCGAATTAGGCAGGGGTAACTGTTTACCTAATTGGATTACCAAAAATTACCTTTGTTGCAGGTTGACTTCTGGACGTGCTTGCGAGAAGTTTGTGTTAATTTATGATGCAAATCAATATTTGACATCAACAGGCAAGAGAAATGTTGCAAATGAGGTCCTGGACTTGCCAATTCAGTCTTCTGCTTGTCCACAAAGCATGTCACTACGATCACATTCTATGAAAAGTGAGTTCTTCAACTTCAATCTCCAAAGCCTATCTTGATCATTCCCATCTGATTTTACTTGTATAGGAAAATCTGTTCATAAGTCTTCAGCTGCTATTTCTTCGGATTCAGAATCCTCAGTAGTTCTGCAAGAATCAAACAACTCCAACTCAATTGATGATCTTGGTGAGCAAGGTCTTTTTAAAATTTTCTTTTAGTGAATTCTCTAACTGCATGTCTTGGTTTTGATTTGAAGACTATACACCTCGTCCAAAAAGAGCCTTGAATGTAAAACGTCCTAAATCTAACATGCAATCTATCGAGACTCGGACATCACCTCCGACTGTACTATCAAAAGCAACTCAGACCTTCAGCCAAGTCATTGATGATCGTGTTGATATTTTGTGTCCTGAACCACTTCATCAAGTTATGAACAAGCTTATTGATGATTCTCGTGAGTAATACTTTGAACCCAAGTACCTCTCAAACACACAGTTGAATTGACTTTGATCATCAAAATCTAGCGGGTGGTGAAGTTGGATTTTCCGACTTAGGAATCATGTGATTGCTTGGCAGAGGAATCTTCCTATTGTCACAAAGGCTCAGAACTGTTTAAGTCCTAGCTGGAAATTGGGTTCAATGCTTACAATCATTACAAAGGATTTGGACTCAAATAATATAAATCTACATGCAATTGAGCAGCTTACCTTTGAAAAATCAGAGGTAGTTTATTCCGTTGATCGTTCTGCTTTCATTGGGTCCGGGGCTTTCATGAATTGCTATGAAGCAAAGGTCTTGATTGATGGCCAAGCTCAAGAGATGGTTGCCAAGCAGGAATTGGATGCAAACATGACTCTTGAAAGCTATCAAGCTTTGGCTCAGCGCTATCTTGAAGCAGAAAGAAGCATCAATATGTTCAAGATGGCAATTGAGGCCAACTCGGGCAATATTCCATATAATGTGTGCAATCATTGTGATAAAATACGAGTGAGTTTTTTTTTGTGGAACTTTCTAAATATATTGCTTAGATTGGTCTCTTTTGTTAAGCTTGTCAAGAATTTCATTGTACATCGAGGACACACAGATGATCCTGGTCCAAAGGAGATTTATTTATTTGAGGAGAAGATCAAAGGGAAATTTGTCAAATACTTTGGTAATCTATTCTTTTCAATTGACGAGGAAAAGGAAAACAAGACCATCTATCAAATTATGCACACATTATCACATAAAACATATCATGACAATCATGGTAGATGGATGATTTCAGACCTTCAAGGAAATGAAGAAGGCCTTCTCACAGACATGGCAATCATTGATCAAGAGTATGTGTTCTTTGAAATCATGCTTTTCTTGTGTGCTATCCTCTAACTTGACCTGTGACAGATATCCGTGGACTATGGGAAACACCAACCGGCTTGGCCTGATTGGATTTCGTCTCACAGCTAAATGTAACTTTTTGTGTAAAAAACTTGGCCTCCCAGATCCTCGAAGTGCCAGATACCCTAAGGTTGTGAATGGCATGGTGGGAGCAGGTACGGAGAGTGAGTTCCTTGTGCTGGACTCTGATGCTGAGCGCTCGTGGGAATTGCTGTGTGGTGCCCGTACCCTTTCTACATAAACTCCTACTTGGAATTGTTTTTATCATTTTTCACCCAAAGAATTCACCATCAAGTTTGATCCAATTCTTGTTTCTTTAATTTCAAAAAATCACTAAGATATTGATCTACCCAAACTCAAACAAAAAATTACAATCAATATTAGATGTTTCTTTCCTAAATTTGAATTTTAAATTTACTCTTTTATGTCATAAAATAAACCCAGTGACACTTGCTTCAATCAATAAAAGACTGAGAATTGTGACCTTATTGATAGAACAGATATATACAAATAAAATTCCATCAGGAAGTCCCAAATTTCAAACTTGATCTTCTGCATCACCAGCAACTCTGAACCTTTCATCTCTGTTGTACTCCTCATATTCTCCATCAGAATTCAAAACTCCTTCAGGAAATTCATCTAAATCTACATTCATATACTTAATTATTTCCAGAACTGCTGTAAATACTGCCCATACATTGTTTAGAGTGATCTTGGATTCAATAAAACCTAGCTCTTGAATTATGTTTGAGACTGTGGAAGCAAATATGGGGGGAGTTATTTGAAATAATGTTTCTTCATCAAGGTAATAATGTGCTATCATATTTTGTACAAATTCTTTAGGAACCTGTAGCCCGCCTTCAGTCCCATCATACTGTTCAGGGGCGTAATGACAGACTTCAGGTGAAACACCTGTGGGAACAAGAGAATGCTTTTGTTTGGCGATACGGTTGAAGTTACGTTCCAGAATGAAGGAGTCTAATATTCTTTGAACAAGCCTTACAAATAAATGTAAGAACAAAGCCCTATAGAAGCAATAAAAATCATAATAAAAATCATGGGTTAAGTGGAAAGATTTAGATGAGAATTTTACGTACTTCTGGATAGCTTGTTTAGGGTCATATATCCCTTCAAACATTGCATTTATAATAAAGTCACAAATTGTTATGTTTTTTTGTATCATCAATTGTCCCCATAGCTGTTCAATTCTTTGATTGTGCTGAGATGTTGTGAATTGGTGTCTTCCTTCAGCTTCATCCCAATCTAACCCGCCAATGATATGAAGAAAAGTGATTTGGAAAGTTGCAATGTCACCGATTTCTGATCCTTTGTCAGTAGTCACCTTTTGAGGGCAAACTCCCATATCTTCAACTGTTCATAAGAATTGAACACCGATTCTTCAAGGATCATTATTGTTTGTTGCCACATGAAGTTTCAAAACCTTTTGGCTCCATGAATCAATAGCACCGTAGATACATATGCCAAAAGGCTTCAACTTGTTGTGACCATCCATAGACCAGACAAAATTAGGACCAGGAACATCATACAAACGGCAGTGTAGTTTACGGCAGTGTCTTTCTTCAAGGCCCTCTGGATATAGTTCTTTCATCATAGAATAAACTGTGTTACGATTACTCTTAAGACCATGGTCTATTTCAAACCCTTTCTGCATTGATCTGATACCAGCTGTTGCACGGGATCCTTCTACCTCTAATGACATTTGATCTTTAACTTCTTGCATAGATGTCAACCCTAATCCAATATCATCTTTTCGCCAGTTCAACCCCATCTCTTGACATAGTGTTTTGAGTTTATTGCTGGTGAATTCAGGTATCTTACAAACACATTGAATGTAACTGACTACTTCTTTTTTTTGTAGGCCGCGGGTATGACAGAGTTTGACTTGGCCAATGATTTCTGACTTTTTTTCATCTGTGTAATGTACATGTTGGTAGGTATGCAAATCCAGCTTGCTCAAGCGATACTTTAGCTGCCTTGGGGTTAAGTCGATGTTGTGCTTGTTTTTTAAAAGTTGAAGTAAGTCTGGTGGTGAGGTTTTGGTTTCACATGCTTCTCGGAGTATTGTGTCAATGTCAAAAACTTGGTCTACTGGTTTGGCTTGATCACAGTTGGGTAGAGCAGGTGCAAGATGATGATTTAAGTTATCCATTGCGTAAGAACTAGGAATACGGCAATTGATGCTTGAATTTACGGGAGATGAAGAGGAACATGAAAGGGACTTGTCACCGCTCGGGGAAAACAAGAGGATACTGGGAAACAAAAGATGTGAAACATACTCCGTGTTCCACGTCTCAATGTAATGTGTTCCATGTCTCAATGCAATTAAGTTCATCAATACATCACTGTGTCTCAAAAAGATTTACCTTACGTGATTGGTGGGGTAAAAGAGTAATGCACTAGTGAAGTTTCTGGGTTGCTTCAAATCATTGGGGAGGCTTAAAAGATTCATTCAGTATCAGGCCAGTGATCAGGTCTCCTGGATCCTCTACCATAAATAATTTCCTAGGCGTACAGAAGTACTAAAGGAAAAGATTCAAGTATTGAAGAATCCATGCAGCTATGAGTAATTTCCTAGGTGTACGGAAGTACTAAAGGAAAAAATCAGGGTTGCAAAAATGGTTGTCAAAAATCCATGTTACTGTGAACAATTTCCTAGGCGTACAGAAGTACTAAAGGAAAAGATTCAAGTATTGAAGAATCCATGCAGCTATGAGTAATTTCCTAGGCGTACAGAAGTACTAAAGGAAAAAATCACGGCTGCAAAGATGGTCATCAAAAATCCACACTACTATGAAGAATTTCCTAGGCATACAGAAGTACTGAAGGAAAAGATTCAAGTATTGAAGAATCCATGCAGGTACAAGTAATTTCCTAGGCGTACGGAAGTACTAAAGGAAAAAATCGAGGCTGCAAAGATGGCTGTCAGAAATCCATGCTGCTATGAATAATTTCCTAGGCGTACAGAAGTACTAAAGGAAAAGATTCAATGGCAGCAAAGATGTGCAGTGTAGGTTGCTACAAGTATGGCTGGCTAAGCAAAATTAAAGTGGTTAGTTGCATCAAAACAAAATACTTAGACTTGTTAATTTATTTGAAGGTAGATAAGCAAAGCTTACCTCGAAATCTTTGAAGATTGAGGTGATAAGAGTTAAGTTTATGAGATATAAAACGTTCATTGAAATGTGAGTTTGGAGAATGGTAGATAATAATTGTTTTCGATGTGTTAAAAAGTTAAATGAAATTGACGTGAAATGGATCAGTAATGTATGGTTTGAAGCAAATTCACACTACACAAAATATAATATTTTCTGGGCAGAAAATTACATTATTGATACACAAAAATATTGAGAGGCCAGGAGAAGGGCAAAAAATGAATAAAAATATGCATCTTGTTCCCTGCGTTGAGAACTTCACTCTGCATATTTTTCCGTATTTTTACAGTCCATATTGATAAGTGTACTAACAATAAACCTTCATAATCATCCAATTACAACCTGTAACAAGCACTGAAATTTGGCTCATTAGTGTTTAAAGAAACTTTTGATTTCTGAAAACACCTATAACTTTGTCAAATCTGCCTCAAAACACTCGATTTTAAGTGCATTAGAAAGCTGAACTCCACCTCACGAACTTTCATAAGATCAAGAACTATGTAGCTAGTATGACAATCATTCTATGGATCTGAATGTACAAATGTATAAAAAAGATGATATCTTTTTTAGCAAACCAGCATGCTGTGTGGTCCTATTATGAACTATTTGGAGGACAACTCCAGCTTACCAATGCACCCAAAATCGAGCGTTTTGGACCGGAATTGAAAAAGTTATGAGTATTTTGAGAAATCAAAAGTTTCTCTAAACACTAATGAGCCAAATTTCAGTGCTTGTTACAGGTTGTAATTGGATGATTGTGAAGGTTTATTGTTAGTACACTTATCAATATGGACTGTAAAAATACGCAAAAATATGCAGAGTGAAGTTCTCAACGCAGGGAACAAGATGCATATTTTTATTCATTTTTTGCTCTCCTCCTGGCCTCTCAATATTTTTGTGTATCAATAATTTAATTTTCTGCCCAGAAAATATTATCTTTCTTGTAGTGTCAATAAGTATCAAGAGGGGATTTGCTGGAAAAATTTACATGCGTGTGACGAGGTGAACAAACAGCCAGAAGTGCTTAATGAAGGAAGACTTATATAGCAAAAGTGCAGAGGACTGATCCGGAGAAAAACAATCCAGTACATTCTCAATTTCCACATGATCATCTTTTGGTAAAGTAGCACAGGGTGCTTTGACCAGATTGGCAGGGTCTTTCCTTTTGAGCATTTGACTGATGCATTAGGTAATCTCAACCCGGCTGTATAAACAGTTTGATCGTACTGGCTTTTAGAAATGCCCTGCAATCAGGGCAAAAGCACGCTTAGTTAAAAAAAATGCCACGGTGTGTAGCTCAAATAACATCTTTGTTTCAAAAGAGGGGTTTTGACTTGATTGGTGTGATCCTATCTTTTGAGCGTTTGACTGATTCATTGTATTCCGAAGAAACAGTCGCTTTTTGAATCGAAATCATCAATGTATATGGAACTAGGAGTACCGACCTGTACAATCTGTACAGGCTGTACCGGGTTTGAGGTTTGGGGTTTTGGGTTTGTCCTCCACCCTCCTCTCTGGTCCATTGTATTAAAGTTCATTCACAAACTTATTACAGAAAGAAAGAAAGAAAAACATAAGAAAAATTCAAAAATGTGGGTACAAAGGTTGGAAAATGGTTTTTAGGGTATTAATAATAGAGTTATGGGTTTTATGAGGTTTGAATATGAAAGAACAACATTATATTATACTGTAACAATTTTAATCTTGAAGTTTGATAAGAAGAAACAGAAGTTATTAGGGAAAAGGTACTTTTTCAAAGGTGGTAAACAAGGGGTATATGTGTAGTTCGTATATGTAATGGTGGTAATAGTGGAATTCAAGGTTGCCAAGAGGATTATCCAGGATTTTTAAGGATATAGAGGGTGATGTCATATCACATGAGCAAGAAAAAGAGAGTAGCAGCTGTGAAAAGCGAAGAAAATGGGTGAATTTTGTCAAAAATGAAGGTTTTCAGCTAATTACATATGTCAAATGACGTCAGATTAGGTTGGTAGATAGCTCATTCAACGCAGAAGAGTGTATTACATAATGTACAAACTTTAAATCACTAGTAGCAGAGGTTTATGAAAAAAGTTACAAGGCAAATAAGAAATTGGTGTGGATCTCAAATTTACAGTCACAAGTCAACATGTAACACTAAAAACCTTAACTTCACAACTCAATATCTTACTCATCACTCATCAGAGATAGGTCATATGGGGGTGATAAATGATCAGTATCACACGGACTACAGGATGCACTTTAGTAATCAAAAATTGGACCTCATCTCAAAAAATTTGTAATCTCAAAATTTGGTTTTCAGCTAGTTTACAAGGAAAAAATCACCTGTATTCATCATAAGAAGTGCTGTACATGATATTATTGTGTCATTGATCACTTTTAGCTGTGAAAATTACATCATTTATTAGTAACAGGATCATTACATTACGTTATTATAGTTTTTTAGGGATTTCTGGGCGGATTTGATTGGTTTTGGGGCTGTTGACCATTGTAAAAGTTGGTGTACATTGTTATATATACTTTGAGATGATTTTGGGACTGTGGTTCCCCTTTTTTCCTTTATCATTTACGCAGTTATTATTTCGTTTATCATTATAAACTTATTTTAATAGTACCTGGTCACTTAAATACGCCCTTTATTATAGCTATAAAGAGAAATTTACTTTAGTGTTTTAGTCAAAAAGACTTATTGGGAATAACATCATTAAGATATTCCTTATTTTTTCAGTTATCATCTGGGAATAACACTATAGCAGTGTTGATAGTAATAAAATTGTGCTTTTTGAGTTAAAATTTGTGTGAAAGTTATATTTCTCTGCTGCCTTATCAGTACTCAATACAACAGCGCCTTTTCCTGATTGTGTTGTTTTAGAAGAGCAGTCTCAGACAACTTCTACTAGTCACTTTATTAGTAGATTATCCTCTTCCAGCTCTGTATAACCCTTGTTGGGTTATAAGTTCTGCAATGGTGGGCTAGGCACTCCTCTACAGTCCCGCCTGTCACTTCCCTTTAAGTTACAACTAACAACAGTACAACTTTAGAGTGTGACAGAGCTTACTTAATACGTACAAAGGGAGACCAGAGGGAGGTTTGTTAAACAACATACAACAAGTTCCAGTAAACTTGGGACGGTGGGTGGGTGAAGAAAAAACTTTCTAATAGAGAAAGGCTCTGGAGAGCAGAGCAAGAGTGAGAGATAATTGACAAGCTGAGAAAATACATGCTCGTGGGATATCCAGAGAGAGAAGTTGATGATAGTCAGGAATGGAGAATATGAGATTTTCCATTTGGACCCTGACTACATGCGCCCACTCTACCGGGATACTTGTTAGAGAGATATCACGTGACTTCTGCTCCTGAGACCCATATGCTTGTACGTGGAACCTATGGAGCCGTCGTGCCTTTGGGCACCATCTTCCATTTGAGTTTAAGATGACGAGTTTGATCTATCAACCATACCACATGTTTTGTCCATTGACATCCTCAACCACTGAATTGAATACGAGTTTTTAAGGGGGATCACAAATGATTTCAAAGAAATTCATTCCAAACCGACTTTAGTTGCGCAATGCGGCCTTCAAAGGGGAACAGTAATATCGTCTTCAAGCAAAACTTTGGACAATTCAAAAGAAATCCCTTCAGACAGACTATAGAATGTTTGTTGTTTGAAAAAACTTTACAACTGAAGTTGACAAGATTTCTTCAGCTGGTTCAAGCAATCGCCTTCAGAGAATTCCAATTTTACATCAAGTCAAAAAGGTAACAATTCCAAAAAAACAAACCGGGGAGAAAAAGGGTTTAGCTAAACAACATTCACACAAATCTCTTCATATTAATCATGCAATCAATTGTACGAGAAGGCATAAGTGTAACGTGAAGAAAAATAGAGAGTTTGGGGGAATATAGATTAGATTGTAAAGATGACGGATATATTGTAAAGTAAGGAGATTGATGAGAGAATAGAGAAACGGTTTTGCTGGGAGAAAAGCTTAAAGGAATAACAATCCAGTGGGAAGCTAAGGCTTCGCAGATATATAAACAATATGTTCACACAGCATTCCCACAAGTTATGAAAACAGAATACATACGAGTCGTAATTATTTACTGATTGTATTTGATTTGACCAAATTGGGCGTATTGGCGATGCAAAGAGATAGCCTATTGCAACGAAAAAGACGTGGTGTTAGACATTGCCTAGCTATAATCTCGGTGAATTGAATGACTGACCTTCGTCATTGCCGCAAGCTGTGGTTAAAACAGTTAAACATCACAGGGAATTAGTGACAAAAATTCCATGCTACTTGTACCGCCCGATGGAAATACCTGACGACTCACCAATTCAGGGGCCAATAGTGGTTTTGTACACACCCCTGACATCTGATAATAAAATATGATCACAGAGATTAGTTTGATAGGAGGCCGGAATACTGGGATGTACAAGTCTTACCCCCGCTTTCATGCATTTTTCTCTATCGCCGACCAAAGCATGGGCCGTGACGCCTATGATAGGGACCGGTGAAACAGAATGAGTCTGCTCCCACTTTCGAATATCTTGGGTAGCTTCTCGACCGTCTTTAACCGGCATGGAGCTAGAAGTATACATGTGAGTGACTGGGTAACCTCATTTGTCGAGCCATTCGACTCACACATCCATCAAGACGATATCAAACTGGGTTGATTTGACAGCATCGCAGGCCTCTTGACCGTTCTCCACAACAACTAAACAATTCAAGCCGGAACTCGCCAAAATCCTTCGTGCGACGATCTGATTGATTTTATCTGTAACACATTGACATTTACTAAGCGACTGCTTATATAAAATACTCAAGTGGTGAGAGCCAAAAGAATTCAGACATACTATCTTCAGCTAATAAGATCTTCCAGTCCGCTTTCGCATCTTGATTCCCAACTCTTCGCATACTTTTCTTGAGTGCGATATTGAGTGCATTGCAAAGTTCTGCCTCACCCTTGTCATTCTCGACGACACTAGCGAGAGAGAGGTCTAACGCTCGCCGCATGTCCAGCTTGGGTAAGGTAGGAGCTCTTAAAACAAGAGGCAGAAATCGACTCGATCGCAAGCGGTCCGCTTCTTCGATGGTGGAAATGATGGCGCAATCAAATAGATCGCCGGACGGCACTTCGTCGATTGATGGTACGCGATGAACCGACAAACCAAATTTGAGACAGGACCTTTCGACCGATTCAGGATGCTGGCCGTCGATCAATAACACGCACTGATCGGTATCAATCTTTTCGATTTGTTTGCGCAGCTCCAATTCGTCGTTGGTTGAACCGAGAAGTACGTCAAAGACAAAGTCAGAACCTCTTTCTACCTCTGACTCTACGTTCAGCTGGCCTCCCATCATTTGCACCAAGTTGCGTGAAATCGTAAGTCCCTATTACCAACAATTGAGGCCATCAGTTGTGAAGCACGTCAAACATCACATCAAACTGCGACTTACCAGACCGGTGCCGCCGTACTTGCTAAAGGTACATATTGGTTTCAATAGGTTGCTTCGTATTTAGAACTCAAATATGGACTCACCGCGTAACAGATCCATCAGCTTGCATGAAAGAGTCGAAAATCCGTTGCAGCTTGTCTTTCTCGATGCCAATGCCTAAGGAAACAAGAGTAGACAAGGTGAGAAGAGTTTCAGAAAATCAAAGGAGCTCGGCTTACCAGTATCTATAACGTGGAACTGAACACGTGATCTGCCTTCGTCATCGCGAGCGACAAGATCTGCAGTCAACGTGATCGATCCCGATTTCGTGAATTTCTGGCTATTTCCGACCTGAGAAGATCCACAAAACCTTCAATTGGAGCTCATCCCACGACAAATGACGCGACACCAAGAAATACTGACCAAATTTTTGATCACCTGGCCTAGTCGAGAGCCGTCTCCGAGTACAAGATCAGGTACCGCGGGATGAATCTCGAAAAAGACGTCGATGTTCTTAGCAGCAGCGCCAAAAGCCAAGCTGGTCAACGCTTCGAAGATCACTTCACGAAGTGAAAATGGGCATCGTTCCAGAGCCATCCGCCCACTGACGTGACGAGACTTGTATTAGAACATGAATAATCTCGGCAGGAATCTCCGATGCATGAACTCACGCCTCGATTTTGGTGATGTCTAATATATCATTGATGATACGTAGAAGGGCATCAGCCTGACCGCGTACCAAGTTCAAATTTTCTCGTTGTTCTCTTGTCAGGTTACTGCCGAGGGTGTCGAAAGTCAGTCCAATTATTGCATTTAATGGAGTTCGAATCTCATGTGACGTGCTGTAGCAAGAGAACCGATGAGTAATTTTGGGGAGGCGAGTTAGTTTGATACGGATATGATCGAATCCTAAAAATAGTTATGCATACTTTGCTAAGAATTGACTCTTGGCCAGTGAATGAGCTTCAGCAGCTTCTTTTGCTTTGACATTACTTTCAAAAGCAGTGCGCAGTTTCGTCACCATCGTGTTGATGTTACTCTGAAGAGCGCGAATATCGCCTTTGACTGCGATATTTGCCATCTTACTAAAATCTCCTGCAGCAGCAGCATCCGTCTGTAACACAACGAAGGTGATCGAGTCTATCAGGAATAGTACTTCCGTTGTAACAAATAAAAGGAAAGATACATACAATTGCTTGAAAAGTTCCCACTTGCGAACTGAGGGTTCCAGACATCCTATTCACCTCGGTGATGATGTGCAAAAAGACACCTGGAGCCAAGATTTATTGCACGGTAAGTACACAGGCCTTTATGAAGCAACGGAGATGAATCATACCTTCGACTGCTTCAACCTCTGCCCTGACATTCAAGTTGCCATCTGCAATCTCTCTGGCGATTCGTACCACCTCCGTGCTAAACATGTTGAGCTACCATAGCAAGGACAGGACACGATGATTTAGAATGGATAACGTTGAACAGATCAGAAACGCAGATTGAAAGTTTAACTTACCCTTTCTAACATGGCATTGATGGTTTGCGCCCTGGAAGCACGATCATATATAGGTTATCAAGGAATGCTTCAAATGGACATATCAATGAGAATGATGGGATTCTTACAATTGCAAAATTTCACCTTCGGCATCAATATCAACTCGCTGCGACAGATCCCCTTTGGCCACGGCGGTCTATCATATGCAGTTGTAAACCAAGAATCGTCGATCAGATAGAAGTCATGTGCCAATAGACTGGCAACCAAAAATGAGAAAGAGGGGACTTACAGTCGACGCGCTAATGGCACGGACCTGAAATGGATGACGGGGCGGCAAAACTTGAGTCAGATCAAGAAATTCAGTCACAAGTATCTATTACCAAAGCCTCACTTGTCCAGTGACCCGATCGACCATACGATTGAGTCCAGTGACCAAGTTGTGCCATTCACCTCGAGCGTTCTTTACCTTCGCTGAGCCACCAAGCTTGCCGGATGTTCCTACCTATGAGTCAATCGAAGTAATCAGTCAGATCGCATATCAAACACCTCTTAGCAATAGCTCACTTCTAGGGCTACTCTGGTTACTTCAGAGTTGAATTCCTGTAAGAACCGGACCATGGCATTGACAGTGTCTCGAAGCTGTCCAACCTCTCCTCTGGCGTCTACCGTGACATAACTGAGCAGTACCAAGGCATGAGATTCCAAGACTTTTCAAGGTAGCTATCTCGAAGTGGACGTACCTGGTCAAATCTCCGTCGGCCACAGCAGTAGTTACACGAGCAATCTCGCGAACTTGGTCAGTCAAGTTCCTAGATATGTCAATTGGGGTCAGTTGAGGTAAAACGTCGAGGAGTATGATAGTTTATGTCTCACTTCGCCATCGTGTTGACTCGATCCACCAGAGTCTGAAACAAAGCCTCAGTATGAGATCTCGAGCGATAGAAGATTGTCGACGAGAAGTACACACCTTCCATTCACCAGAAACGTTGGCCACTTCGGCCTTACCTCCCAGTACACCTTCCGTACCGGTAAGCAACGCAACTCGTGTGACCTTGGAAACATAGACAGGTAAGGTAGAGTTTCACATATCAAGCAATCTGAGGAGTGCATACCTCTGCGGCAAATACGCGCAAAAATGCGACCTAGTGATTTAACCACATCAAAACATATCGCAGAATAAGTATAACACTTTCGGGTCCTCGAGTCAGTTTCGGTGCTTCACCATTCCGTTTACTGTGCTGGCCAACGCAGCTACTTCTCCACGTGCTTGGACAGTAACCTCCCTGATGAAGACAGTGGGTAAGCAAGGTACAAACAATCATAGCATTGAAGAACACTTACTGTGACAGGTCGCCTTCCGCAACAGCTCTTGTGACTGATGCTATCTGTCGAACCTATGGAGACGAATCAAAACCTTATTGAGTAAGTGGACGTTCAAATGACCATTATTCATCCGGACGACATGCATACCCTGATACAGGGATGATACAATAGACATGGATTAGCCAGCAATTACATGATCGATACGAAGGCAGTACGTACTGTGAAGTAAGATTATTCGCCATTTCTGGAAACAGTTGTACTTCGTTATTTTTCGCGCTGGCGAACACAATACCACCGGGAGTGACTCACGATTGACACTATGCGAGAGGTCGTACCAAGCCCCTGAAAGTAAAGGAACATCACTGAGCAAAGGAACAAAACGGGGGTGGAATGGCGGGAAAGCTTACCTTCCACATTGGGGATGTTGGCTTGGCCACCAAGCACGCCTGTAAACCACGCGTAAGAAACTTGTGATGGACGGTGCTAGAGCGATCTCACGGCTGACCTTCGACTCCGACTTCACGTGCCACGCGCCCAACTTCTTCCAGGATAACTTTCAGCGTATCAACCATCGAGTTGACCTGAATACAAAACGATCAGCTTGTATTTGGGATGGTATGACGTAGTAGGAAACCGAAGAAACTCACAGTCTTTTTGAGATCAGCCTTGATGACACGAATATATAATGTCAGTATTTGGGCCGAATCATATAGTTTCCATGTTGGTTCATACCATCTCTCCTTTGGCCTCAACTTCTATCTGTTGGCTCAGATCTCCGCGAGCGATAGCCGACGTGACCGCGGAGATCTATATGACGTAGAACAATACATCTTTATTCGAACTTCAGGTAAAAGAGGATATTGGATGTGAAAGCTTACACTTCGAACTTGTAGGGTCAGGTTGCTATCAAAAAAGTGGATCAGTGAAACCAAGTCATAAGTCGTGATGGTTTGAAGCTTAAAAGTTGCACCTAGCCATTGAGTTGACGCTGTCAGTTAGATCCTGAGGTTATGGCGAAAGTGGCAAGATTGTAAATTAGTGATTCCTCAATATGAAACACTACGAGACTCACTTTCCAAACACCCTCCACACCATCTACTGTGATTTGTTGATCGAGTATACCGTCGGTGCCTACCTGATAACATCAAGTACAATGTCAAGTTTTGTGCAAGAGAAAGTGTAAGACATACACATACCATCTGAGCAATTCGAGCGACTTCGGTAGCAAAGGAATTAAGTTGATCTACCATTCTGAGTGCGGGCGAATTTCAATTAAAGCTAGTACATGCGGGTCAGCCTCAAGCCTACCAAACTGCTCACTTATTCACCGTTTCCTAAATGTAAATAACATTAGCCTGTGTATAATCATGATTCAAATTGTATGCTTTGATAGATGACAAACCTTGGCCAGCAAAATTTCGCCTTCGGCTTGTACTTCAATCTTTCTGGAGAAATCCCCTTTTGCGACGGCCTAGGACAGAGGTTTGATCAATTACATCCAAAATGATTCAAGGTAAGAAAGGAACCTACAGTGGTGACCTCAGATATATCCCGGACCTGTGCACTTAAATTGCTAGCAAGGCTGGAGATTTCTAGAAAATCAGTCTGGGGTCTCGACTGCTAAGAATCGTCTCAGGAGCACACCTGTTGACATCTACAAGCATTTTCCTCCATATACCCGCTGATTCTTCCAAGTCGGCTTGTTTGCCCAACAGACCCTTTTGTCCTACGTCACTACACACTTTGAAAACTTGAGTGGTGAACCGGCGAAGTCGTCGCACTAAACTGTTGACGTCAGTTTTCAAGTTTTCCAAGTCCGGTGTAGCGACATCTTCGTATATCATTTGGTTCAGGTCACCATTCCTTAATGCCTAAGATGCGTATGATGTTAGATAAGAGATTTGAAGCGACATTACTGATCTATACGTACTCTGCAAACTTTTGCAATTGCCTTGATGGAAGCCTTTAAACGTCGGATTTGCTCGCTTTCATCTGCGGTAGTAGCTAAAGAAGCCGATCGAGACATAGGGTAACCATCTGAGCTTTCGCCGTTGTCAGAAACGGAACTCTGTCTTGATAGACAGCTATCGGCATTGTCAAGTGAATTACCCTTGATATGAGTGTAACCACTGTCAGAGTGATAATGATTATATGACTGAGATGACATTCGAGACAAAGTGGGCCGTTCGTTCGCCGGTGTAGAAACATCTGATGAACTGGGATCGCGAAAACCAGAAAGGATTAGACCGCAGGCACTACACCGATGAGTAAGTGTAGGTGAATCTTGGGCTGGGGACGTGATGGGTGAAATGGCCTCAGTCTTGTCCGAGCGTCTTGTAAGTAACTTGTTTTTTGGCAATCCACCTGATGGAATAGGTGTCCGTACGGACTCGTTCTCAGCTTTCGCGAGGCGCTCGGCCAATTTCAGCAAAAGCCTCAAGCCCACATTCGTCTCATCAGTCTCTTCGTCTTCATACTCATCCAGATCATAGTCATCCAGGTCATCCAGATCATCAAAATAATCTAAATTTCTACTAATCGCCACTTCCTGTTCATCCATTTCAGAGTCATTTTCAGGTGGACAAACGGAATTGGAATCCAAGTGCGGGTTACCCGTATCGAGTAGAAGGCTATTGTGGTTATGCTGATAGCCGTTCAGAGTGTCAGTACTGGCTGAGATGCTGAGAGATTTGGTCGGAACCGGGTCGTCCGACAAGTTCTGATGGCGCTGTTGATTTCGGCGGCGAATGGCTAGTTCTCTCCTCAAAGAGGCTGCGGCACCACCTGGATCGCAAGAGACAGCATAGAGCTGTGAGATAAGCACGCTGGTGAACATGACGCTCTCAAGTTATGACCGTCTGATTCGTTTCGGAGGAAAGCCGTTGGGTTCGAGGAAAAAGGGCAGTGATGATTAGCGTGAAATTTATGAGATAGGCGGATTGTAATTGGTGACCACTGCAAGGCAAGGGATCGGAAATGAAGGAGATAAAACCTACCAAGAAGTCGAGACACCGCGGCTTTAATAATGATGGTATCTTGATTGGTTTGATGAAGTGACGGTGTTTGTGTATATATCGTCGAAGGCAACAGGGAGGATAGAGGGAAACAGTTGATTAGGTGAGCGTAGGTTGATATATATGTACATATAAACGAATGTATGCAGGGATAGAGAGAGGTGGACCGGCAGAGAGGTACCGGAAATCGAATTTGGAATTTTGACAGCTACAAAAGTCAACAAAGTTTCTGTAAACTTATCAACTGGTCATGTTCTCCCGACAATTTCGAAAATATACGTCATTTGATATTGCAAGTTGGAACACTGGAATTTCAAACTTGAAATCTTGATTTCAAATTGTTTCAGACATTTGACACATTTCCTCTATGCTACGTCACAGCATGGTAGAGCATGGTGATGGTCGGGCCCAGGCTTATGACAGAAAGCTTTTTATAGGAATTTGGTACAATTAGGGTGTTCAAACCTCAAAATCAATTCATGCAAGTTTTGTGCAAGTTCTGTGCAAGATATGAATAGAACTTGCACGGATCTTGCACAAAACTTGCAAGAGTCGGTCTCGCACGGTTTTTGCACGGTTTGGAACACAATAACTCGGGTTGTCAAAAAAATTACTGTGCAAGATTAGTGCAAAAAATCTTGCACGGATCTTGCACGGATCTTGCACGTCGGTCTTGCACATTTCTTGCACAGGTTTGAACACCCTAAATATCTTAAAAATGCTGAGTGGAATCAAAGATGGTCGGGCAGTTTTATGTAGATACATACATGATCATTCACATTGAATGGAATAACCTTAGCTTGAACAAGCCCTCTCTGCGCGGCCACGTCCGCGCGCCTCATTGGTGTTTATCAGCGAGGAGACCGGGAAAAAGCAAAAAACGACTTAAGAGGACTTAATCCTTGGAGTCTCCGTGCCAGAATTTGACGATTAGTCCCAAGCCCCTCTGATCTGCTTCGTACCTTCTGCGCAGAGAGGGCTTGTTCAAGCTAAGGAATAACCCATGGATGTACACACTTCTCCCCTTGAGCAGCCTTGAGCTGACTACATAATCACGGAATCAAAATCTCATTTCAAGAGCCAGAGAAGTAAGGATTTTGTTGAAACTTGAGACTGACCAAATTTGATCAAGGTTGAGCATAAAAATGGGACAACATTCTTAAAACATTTGACTTCCACAAAGGCAAGCTAGCTATGACACTTTGCAACTCATCTATATAAATTCATGAATTTGTCAACTCTGGCTGCACATGTATGGTCATTTTTTAAATTCCAAACACCCTTTCACTACAGACTGAACTTAGTCCCAAAAAACCATCCAAACAAAAAAGTGGACCTAATCAACAACTTGGTGAAGTTGGTGGTCAGGTCCACCTTTTGGGACTTGGTCAAGTTTGCTTTCACTAACAGAAGCTTCTGCCTTATCTTTAAAGTCATTGAGGTTACATCTTTCTACGCTACAATGTGGGGAATTTCCTCCATTTGACAACCATAGAAGGGCTTTCTGGTGTCCTCATGTATCATCAAACCTGCACATCATTTGTCATTTTTGACCCAAGGCATGATAGAACTTGGTTAAATTTGTTGTCTCATAACAAAAAGCATTTTGAGTTGGTGACTACCTGCTGATGTCAATCTGCCTCCACTATATGGCCACGGACCAGTCCCTTCTGATTGCCACAATGGGTGAAATTTTACATATCAACCCAGGTCCAATCTTCTGTCACCTATATTCCAGCCCCATCTCTGAACTGGTTTTCTCAATGCCTTCCAGCCTTATGTTCTGCCCCACAATGTCATCCCTTGCTGTTCTGTCATTTTGGAAACATCTGAGTTCCTTTCCCAGTCAATCCAAACTTTCATAAGCTGGGAAGGTCTGGATGTTTAACCTTTGGGGTTTAGTCTGAAGTTAGTATGAGCAAGTAGATCACAACTTCATATCAGGTGCTGGGAATTGGTAACAATGTTGAAAAATATTGTCATAGGCACAGTGGTTGATGTTCAATGGAGAACTTGGAAGAAATGAAATGATAATTTGAATCATCAAGAGATGTATTGGAAGGAAAGAGATTCACACTGCAAAAATGATGTTTTTTTCCAAGGTGAAAAATGATTGAGTTAATGCACAAAATGATTAATAAATTATTAATGCAGAATTAATGCAGAAAAATGCAGACCTAATGCAGACTTTATGCATTTTTAATCATTGTTCACCTTGGAAAAATACTTTATATTTGCAGTGTCAACCACCATTCACCTCAATGCACGCCAGTACTAGTAGAAGCTATGCAACAATTTAGCTACATCTGCTTTTACTTTGATGGATAGGGCCAAAATGTATAGGGTTTTGACTTATGTATGGCCCTAGATAACTCCTTACCCAGATTGTACATATCTTTGAAAATGATACCCAATGGTAAATTTACACCTTACCACTAGTAGTAGGATTAAGCTTTCCAAATGATGATCTATACTTTGTGCAAAAAGGAGAATGAGGGGAACAGGTCCTTATGTTGGTAAGAGTGATTCTACAGATTTTCAACAAGCATGAATGCAGATAAATCACCATGTTCAAGTAAAGAGTTGACCTAGTCGAAACAAAATGAAAAACACCATTGGCAAATTCATCCATGGCTGCAGGTAACCTCAGGGATTACAAATTGAAAGAATGCTTAACACAGTGTCTGGAAATCTTGCTACATGAACACCACCCATCTGCTTTTAGTCTTAGAGGAAGTACAAAATCTGCAGGACAGATGCACATGCAAAATAGTTTGCATTTGAAGAAGATAGTGTCCATTTCAGTTAAATCTAAATCCTCTCTTTTGAAAAGATTTGACTTGTTTAAGTTGTAGTATGTAAGCAATGTAGGACTCTTTAAAGATACAAATTTTCCAGCTCTTGGGTAGTTTTTCAGGAGTTTTCTTTTGCTCAAATCTGATTCAAAGTTTCTGAGTTTGGTGCCTGACTCAACTCAAAGTAACCGGAAATGGAGACCAACTGATTTCCATCCAGGTGTCTTTCTGTACCTGTTGTTTAAAAGTTCACTTTATCTCAGGGTAAAATTGATTTAGGGAAGATGCCAACAAATCAAGGCTGTATCAACGTGAAACAACATGATGCAATAGAGACAGTACACAACCCAAACTTTTCAAAAAAAAATGCTTAACTTTGTGGAGTATGAAATCATAATTATTGAACACCTTGAATCCTGTGAGCTGAACCCCTAAACAAGTAAAGAAGTGACAAAGCTGGGAGATGTATCACATTATACATTTTCTCTGTTTACACACAGATACATTACTATTCATTGATTGTACAAGTAGTTCAGACAATATATGTGAGGTCTGTGTCATGGTGAAGTATCCAATTGTATCATCAAACCACAGTTGATATTATAGAGGAACAAGACACAATTCAGTACTTATTTTCCTGTGATTCATCCAAAGTTACAGAGTCTGTAACATTTTGAGTAACTTCAATGGTTGAACACAGGTTACATGGTGTACATATATCTCTGTAGTAGACCACTAACTATACTTATACTCTACCTGAAAAAGAGGATGAAAAGGTACTCCCACATCCCACTATGTATCTCCATGTCCGACACCTGATACCCTACAAGATGACAAAATCTACTTGAGATGTATCTCTTCTTTGTCCTGGAAGGTTCTTGAGATCATGATCCAAAATATAGTCACAAATGAGTAAACTCATTCACCTTCTCTTCCATGACCTCTGAAACATCCTCTTTCAAATAATCATCTAGCGTGTAACCTATAGCCCATACAAGATGGATTCATTGCTGAAATTGGATTCATTAGCATTGGATTCATTTCTTTTCCTCTTCCATTCCTATCTTTGTCTTTCAACAACCATGCTTATATACCACCTTGCTTGCCCACTTACTTGAACATCATAACCAACTTTAACCTACTGAGATGATATTAATAATTATCCTCTAGCTGAAAGCCCACTTTGTGTCTTTTTGGAAAGTCGGCCCAAGAGCCACTCATCTCCCACAGGGTCAAGGTGACCCTACCTTGACCCTGTACAGAAGATGAATGGTCAAGCTGTGGTGATGCTTCAAAAATAGTCCACAAAACTGTGGGGAAAGTAAGCTTCTGAGGCCAAAAAGCTGATCATACTGTTATGCATATGTACTCAACTGAGCAATGAATGAGTGTGTCAAAGCTCAAAAGTCAAATATTCTTCAGCAAGCAGGTACATATATACATCAATAAGTCTCAAAATCCATGATCATCATTTTTGCCACTCATCCCAGAGAAAACCAATATTGATGTCTTTACAGTTTGAGCCTGTCCCCCAAAAAAATCCCCAGATAATGACAAAATTTCATTTTTCAACAACCAAGACTGACATTTCCATTTCAAAACTTTGAAAAATCAATGAGTTCATTCTTGAGTCATACTAGATTGATCAGATTCATCTCACTCAGTCCTTCAGTTAGGGTTAGATTCATTTCAGAAAGTCTTCTAGACCAGGAGGCTTATGGATCAAATATAATTTTGAAAACCGTAATTGTTTCCAGATGTTGTATTTGGAAAAGGATTGCACTATTTGGCGCCCGGTTTTGAAAACACAACACCCGGTTTTGAAAACACAATGCCCGGTTTTCAAATTTTACATCTTTCCGTAGCCCGGTTTCAAACCGGTTTTTAATTGTACACACATCCCGAGTTAGACCATGGTTTATGACAAGCATACTTGCCCATAGTTCTAGCTCATTGTTGATAGTTTTTGAAATCCAATGTCTTAATTTGCTTTTTCAAAGACCCCGATTGCAATGTAATCCTGGAGTGAGGTGGTTAACAGTCATAAAAGTTCAATTAAAATGAATGACTGTTGTACTCAGAAACAACCAAGGCCAAAAAGATACAAGTTCAAACAATCATTCTAATCAAGATCAACCAGATTAAAAAATAAGATACATTCACAACAATCATTTGACTCGGGATCGATTAAAATATGATGAGGTTGAATATGATAATGATGAGACGGTCATAAGATACAACTTCAACTGTAATCAGTCAAAATAGGAGTTCAAAAAAGATAAATGTTTGGTTCAATAGATTTTCATCCTCAGAATTGGAGATGAGAAGGTTGCATCACCGGTTGTTCAAGATCTGTAGGAGTGACTTTCTTAAAAGATTCATTAGTCTGACAAACCGTGGTCCGATTTGATATTGGTATGTCGTCTTCAAGTTAGGAGGAATGTTGAGTGAGAGAGGTGAGATGTGGCAAACCGGTTTCAGGCTAATGCCCGGTTTCTCATAATTGCTGCGGCTGCGGCCAAATTTGGCTTGAACGCGCGGGAAAGTACCGAGAAAAGCGGGCGTCAGGGATTTTCGAAAGTGGGCGCCAAATAGTGCGCTCCTTTGGAAAAATCATCATAGGTGTATTTCTCAATCAAACTTTGTATCTCTTGTTAAAGGTCTCAAGTATAACTCTTGTTGATCTTTCATTTGTTCCACCAAGACCTTTATTTCTTTATCTGATACCAAGGCAAATTCCAAGTGTTTGGTGAACACTGCTTCACATGAGAAACTTACCTGAGATGTGTTTTCACCAAGTCCCACCGTGATGCTATACTATAGATACTTCAGCTCAATTAGCCCTTCAGTTTACAGCCCTTTGCAGAATTGATGACTTTGGAAAAAGAGAAAACACTTGAGTTTTCAAAAATACCTGCGAGTTTTTTTCAGTTTTTTTCAAAAACTGAGCGAGCTCTTTCTCTTTTAGACTTACTGAGCCAGGTTTCCAAAAAAAACTCACCGACTTTTTGAAAAACTCAGCAGCTTTTTGACAAAACTCAAGGTTTTTTATTTGAAAACTCAAGGTTTTTTTTTCCAAAGTCATCAATTATGCAAAGGGCTGTACATATTTTGCTTTTGTTTTATACCTGCAATCTTGGCTTAGGGCCCAGCACTGTCAGTCTCTTTCCTTGCCTTGAAGGTCACCTCTGGTCTGGTAATGGTGAAATCAGATGGTGGTTTGAATCTAAGGCAAACCAAGCCCTGCACTGCAGGCTTGGTGCATGGTCCATCAATGCTATTGGTAAAACAATCACAAGCCTTAGGCAAGATCCCCTCAACCCACTTCACGCGCCTTTATCTTGTCAAAGATCTCAAAAGAAAAGTAGAAAACCAACTACAGTCAACTCCCTCTAACTTGATATCCCTGTAAGTGCATAATTCTCTATGTGCATAGGATTTTTTGCCGCCAAAAAGGGGTTTGCCAGCCAAAATGAGGTCTATAAGTGCATATTCCTTTAAGTGCATGAGAAAACCACCCGCCAAACTGTATGTAATTAGAGGGAGTTGACTGTATGTTAGTATAAATAATTTGAACAGCAAATCAATAAATATTAAATAAAACTTAGGTCAAAAAGTCATGTGATGCAAATTGTTTTTTGCAAGTAAAAAGAGTAATCAGTAAGAAATAGCTTTGGAATTTGGTGATGATAATAAAAGATAAAAGAATGAAACAAAACAAAAAATCACAAGATTCAAATATTAAAACAAAAACAAAAAAACAACACAACATAGACAAGCACATGCTTATCAACCCGAAATTTAAAATAAAGATAAAATCAAGGAAGGGAGACACTGAACCAAGACCAAGAGTCACACAGGTAAGTAAGCATTTTCAGAAATGCAATTCAATGATCAACTAGTGTTTGATGAGAAAGTGAAATCTTGACAGCAGGGCAGGAAGAAAACATCGCATAGTATATTGAAAAACAAGTTGAGACAAGTGATTAACAAAATCGAGTTCGTGACCAAAACAAATCTGAAGGACACTCCCCACTCCCTCATCCAGTGCTCTAGCTCAAGTGAAGAGCCCTTCACAAACACACATACATATATACGATAGTCCGTTGTTCTTCATCAACAGACAACGTAAACTCTCACATATTGCAAGCTTTGAAGTGAGATCCACACATGTGGTTTGAAGAATCCAATTGATCCGATAAGAAAAGAAAGATTTAAAGCCATTTATTTGATAACTCATCGCGAGACAAAACGAAGTAAGAAGAAAATGAGTCAAGGAAGTTGTAAAGGGGAAAAAGTGAAGAATGTGAAGATCAAAAAGCTTTGGCTCTGCGAATCCGTCGAGTGAAAGCAACCTATGATGTAGCAGCTGTTCCAGGCTTCTTCACATTCTGACTCAGCCATGATAGTCCTAGAGACAAATCGATCGACAAGCAAAAGCAAAAAGATGAGAATCGAGTTGAAAGCTCCATTGTGGACTGATTCGCACGAGCGACAAACCTTCGAAGAGACCGTCACCAGCAAGTGCGTTACTGGGATGACAATACCACGACCGATCTTTCATCCGATGGAGCCCTAAACGCTCAGTGACCTCTGTTGGTGACATGGCTGAAGACAATCGATAGAATGCGAACACAAGTTCGATGAAATGATCCATAGGGTCTGACAAATGCGAGTTTACTACATACCTCCTGGCAAGTCCTGTTTGTTGGCAAACACGAGCAATAGACAGTCTTTCATTTCGCGATCACTGAGAATCCTATGTAGCTCTTGGCGTGCTTCTTCTATACGTTCCCGATCCTACGAATGAGTCCCAAATGAGAATTACAAAGGAGAAGAACGTGAAAGCTATGAGTCGACCAAGTCAAAAGCACAAGCCGTCTCGGCCGAACGATCAAGAAAAGCCACCTTACCTGTGAGTCGACAACGAAAACCAGTCCTTGGGTACCAGTATAATAATGCCGCCAAAGTGGACGAATCTTATCTTGACCTCCGACATCCCAGACGTTAAACTTTACGTTCTTGTACGTGACTGTTTCAACATTAAAACCAACTGTTGGAATTGTAGTGACGCTCTGATTGAGTTTGAGTTTGTAAAGAATCGTTGTCTTCCCAGCAGCATCTAAACCGAGCATAAGAATCCTCTGAATTGATTGTAAACCAACAAGCGAGACGGTCAAGCAAGATCAGAAGATCGAAAATTTGAAAGTGAACCCTGGAAAGTGAAGACAAACCATCTCTTTGTTTCCGAACATCTTGGCTATTGAATGGTAATGAGATCGAGTCAAAGGTAAAGAGGTCAACAAAACATAAAACGAGTGAGGATGGTGATGAGAATGATGACTAACCGAGTGCCTTGGAGAGACCAGCACCCATCTTGGATAGGTAATGATTGAGATATGAAAGAGTAGGATGAGATTGTGGTTATGATGGATATGATGATTGAGTGAGCTTGGAATAAAAGGATGAAGTGGATGGATGAGGATGGATGAATGCGATGGATTGAGATTGGAATCTGGAAAGGTTGAGATGATTCGTTTTAATAATAGGTTCTGATTAACGTGATCTAATTTGTTTGGTGTGTATGTATTTATTGAGCTTAAAGCAAAGCGGGTCAAAGTTAATTTAAAATCTAAATTTGAACCATTTCTTAAATCAAAACTCACTTAAACATGGTTTTCCTTTTAATTTGGTAGTTTTCTTTTAACCATTCAATTCTCTCTTAAACCTTATCCTCTCTGGCAGTGGGAATCACGTTTGCACTCAGTCTGCATGCCCGGTCGGTGACCTGCTGACGTTCTGGCCTCTCATGACACAAGGTCCTCCCACGGTACCTTGTGAGCAGATCTCAACCTGCTTGGCTCCAAGATCCATCCTTGCTTGGCTACATCCTATTTTTGAAACTGTTTTGAGTAACAAATGCATTTGTAGTGCAGATGAATGGGTTCTTTTAGGTTCATTTAGTCCTCAGGATGAGAGGGTTTGAAACAAAAAAGAGCTCGGGGTCGAAATTGGCTTATTTTGACATTTCTCCAAGCAGCGCCACTTGAGGAAAATCTTTGCATGGGTTTTGTTTTTACATCACGCGGTATCTTCACTCCACCTGATCTGTCCTATATAGACTTATCGCGCTTGTAAATCCAACATTATATTGCGGAGGGTACAAAGTCCACTCGTTTTTGAGCTGTACTGGCCAGCTCAAACGAGGACCAGAGTCACATAACAACCTGCCGCGTCTCATGAGGTCTCATGCCATCTGACCTCTGGGGCAAAATTAAAGAATCAAGATAAAGTTTAAACAGGGAACAGTCAGTGATGGAATCATGATCATAAGGGAACGGAAGCCGATGTTCGAGGTTCTATTTACAACGCAGGTACAGTCAAACCGGAAAAGCTTGCCACCAATTCCCCGCCAATTTGCTCGAGTTTTGCGGGCAAAATTGGTCAAGCTTTCCCGGTTTGACTGTAAAAGGGATCTTCCCGCCCGGTTGTACTCCACAGTGAATTGCAAAAAGAAGGAAATCGACAAGTCTTCAAAATCAAATCGTGCTCCATGCGCCCGGCAGTAAGTTTGAGATTAATTGTGACATCTGTCTGACTTACACGACACAACCAAATGCAGGATTCAAATAAATTTCCTCTTCTCCTTCATCTCTTGGTGTCCGAACGGTGTATGGTAGGTGGGGCTCTGACCCGGAGCCGAGCCAAACCCGGTTAGGGTCGCCTTTGGCTTGAGCAGCAAACTTTCGGGTGCCCAATCTGGTATCCAGTGCTTATGATGACTGGATTTGATGGTTTTAGAACATCCACTATCATTATCATGAGGATGTTTTATTGTAAGTTTTGTGTTCCTGGCCGCAAGATTAAATCATGCATGTAACAATTAAATTGTTAAACACATGAAATCCACTATGAGCTGCTTTACCATACAAGCTACACCCAATGGCAAAAATGTCAATCAAAGTATTGTATCTTACCCACCAATGACTTCTCTTGTTACCAGACAGATTGATGCCTGTCAACTGCAGGTTTCATATGTTGAGCATGAGCAACAAGACTGCCTTGCTTGATTTCAGTAAGATCAATTGAGCAAGCTTGCTTTTTTGAAAAAACAAGCACAATATGATTTGGAAGGTTCAGAGGGAAGACCCACTGTTGCTATGCTGGTATCTCAAGGCCAGAGGGAAGTTTTCAAGTGAAGGTGTTGGGTGTAGAGCTGGATAGATGACTGTTGACCAATTTGATATACCAAAAGTCTAGGATAAAACTTGATTTGAGCTTTTGTAGATTTAGACAACTCTGATGCATGATTCAAAACATTCACAGGGAGCACAAGTCTAAAATAGGCCCATAGTAGACCTGTGTATAATATAGTGTTAAAATGACACTAAATCATATTGTTAACACAACCATATTGGGTGCTCTTAAGATGCAGATGGATGTGGGAAAAGGGCTTTTTATGTTATCTTATTATATGCTTTGTTAAGAAAAACAAAAAGTTTGTACATTCTCTCATTGCATACACACACACAAGTGTAAAGACAAAAAAGCAGACACACACAAAAAAACCACATGTTAGAAATGGGAGAAAAGACATGATTTCAAAAATCACAATAATAAAATAGAGATGTTAAAGATGATACAGTAAGAGTGAAAGAGATTGCAAGAAAGACAGAGCTATTTTCAAAAAATGGAAAATAATATGAGTTGATTTGAGAGAGATGTGAGATGGAAACAAAGTTGAAATGACAAAAAACGGTGAAGAGTAAAACCACAGCAGTTTTTATTTTTTTGGTTAAGAGAAAAAAAGAAACCAAGTGATGGTCTTAAATCATGGATTTGTGTTTATAGATATCTTTCAACAAATTGTGCAACCCTTGGAATGTTCCTTTGTTGTCTTTTCACATGGATCAGGAGCCAAGACAGCTCTGATAACTCCATCAAATAATTTATTCAAACCTTTGTGTTGGAGCAGAATTTTGAGGTAACTAATCAGAACCCCAATCCAAAGTAAGAAACAGGTCTTTCAATGAGTGATTGTTAACCAATGATGAAAATTGTCAAAAGAATGACTTACTGAACGGAAGCAATGTCACAAGCCATAACAGCAGCTTGCTGATACAAGATTGGTGTCATTCTATGTTCTCTCAATTTCTCAATTGTTTGTGGATCTCAGTTCCACCCAAGATCAATTGCTACAGTGAGATTTGGGCCAGCCCAATGTCCCATGCGGCTATTATAAATATTGGTTTCTTGTGGCCAACTCCCAAAGGCTTTGGGCCTACCAGGTCAGAGTCTTAATTGTAGAATGTCTAAAAGTGTGAGATGTCAAACAAAAAATTACATCTAAATAGCAAAAAGGTGGATTACTCACACATTTTCTGGTCTCTCCTTTTCCCCATTGCTTGGGTCCAACAGCGGATACAGTTGCTACCTTACTTTATTTCAGTCAATGGGTCTCACGGTTGGCTTTTGTAGTCCAGATTTTATATTCAGATACTCTTTGTTATGTATTCATTTCCTGTTGGTTCATTATGTGAGTCACTATATCATGAATATTTGGTATGGAATTTTCTTGGTCTTCATATTTTGGATCAACTTTACCATCATGCCTTGTCAAAATGAGGTCTCTCACTCCTGCTCCAATAAATTCACCTTTTGTTAAGTTTTTGTGCATTTCATTATTCAATGCAGAATTCAATCAATAGGCTTCACACACCTCACTTCAACCTTTGTTCCACGCCAGCAAGGAGATTTTAACCCCACCTTACCCTCCATTCTGTTCCATTGATTATGTTTTTGCCAATTCTTGACTTATTGTGCATATTATGTTTTTGCCAATTCTTGAATTATTGTGCGTATTGTGCTATTGAAAATTCCTACCCATCTCATGTTCTTGTCTTTGACTTTCCTGTTACTTTCTGCAGTCTTCCTACTCTTTTGTATCTAATTCATTGGTGTTTTGCTTGTTAGGGTCTTCTTTGATTTGGTTATTCCTTTGAAATGGGTTTCATATCAGGTTATAAAAGACACAATCTAGTCCCATCCTATGATTATTCTAAATTGCCATCTACACAAATCATCCAGCAACTCACAGTCATTCAACTTTTATCTATCTTGACACATATTTTTTTCCTCTCAATTTTCAAACTTTACTCTCCAGAAAGCTATGATACAGGAAACTTGCACCGTGTCCGGGTAGTGTTTGCTTGTCAACAAGCGCGCACGACTTCCCTTTCTGCCTCAAAGGGAGTTGGTGTGCGCTCGTCAACTAGCAAAGCCTACACAGACACGGTGTTGGCACTTATTCTGTTCTTCAGTGATGAATACAATATTTGAACATTTCTTCAGTCAAGGTTGAAAGACTCAACATTGGGGGTACATGAGTCATGAGGTTTTATGTAAGGTTATGCTGTAAACTCTGTGTTGTTTTTGGTTTTTGTGTTGAAATCAAGGTATCAGCCATAGAGTTGAAAATTGAAGTGATATGACAATTGGACTTGTGCAGGAATGCTTGCATATTCTCTAGTATGTTCAAATTCCATACGTGCATGTAGCATTGAGATCACATCATCAGTGCTGGATCAGTGCCTTCCTTACCAATTATCAATCTTTTATCCTCCTCTTAGCTTGAACCCCATCAAAAAGATAACCTTCATCTGATCAAGCTTCTTTGGTCTGACATCAAACCATGTGAGACTTTCTTGCTTCTTGCTTGATGACCTTTTTTAACCTTTGCTGATCAATGAATAAATCAATTGTGCTTCAGGATATTGTGAACACAAAAATGCATGTTCCACCCTTCAAGAAGCAAAGGCTTTGTGTGACCACGTCAGGCAAACCTGCTGTCTCCTGACAATCCAGGGTTTCTTTTGTAAGAACAATACAATAAGATAACATTCCATCTCTTATAAGTCAAATTTTTCTCAATCCCATTCATGATTTTGACAATTTTGTTAAATTTGACTCAATTGAATTTCTTATAGGAAGGCTAGGAAGCTCAAACCTGGTCCCAGCCCTAGCACTTAGAAGTCCATGTCACACTGAACCATTGCTTGCAACTCTGTGACCAATGCTAACCTCAATATGTGATCCCTCCTTTTGTCTCATATAGGCATCCTTGCATTTTGCCTCCAATCAAAGATCCACCCAAGGAGCCAATCCAAAGTAATGGGCCAGGCCAAAATTTGTCTTTCAGGCATACCTTGGAGCGCTGGAATATGCCTACAGTGATATTTATCACATTTCAATTTTCTGTCTTAGTTTTTGCTCGTACTGATAGGCAGTTTGGGCAAGGCCTGAGATATGCCTCATAAAAGAGTTGCTTTCAACTCCCAGACCAATGCTGACCTCAATGTATACATATTTTTTTCCCCATTTTCTGTATATTTCTATTGAAGACTGCTTTTTATGGTAGTTTTTGTTCTTACTAATTAACAAGGTGAAAAATCACCATAATTTGTATAATTTTATATTTCTTATCAAAAACCACATTGGATGAAGATAATTTCATTCATTGTAGCAATAGACAAAATTTAGGAGGTCAAAAACCAATCTGTTCATTACAAATTTGGATTGCTATCAATGGCAGGACCTTGTGCTTCATATTTTGATAAGATTGTTTATATCCAATAGAACTGACACAGACAAAGACAATCAACACATCTGTCCTATTGTTATCATTTTGTTTTATGGCAACAAGCAAAAAAAGGACTTGTAAAAAATTAAAATCCAAGCTAAAAAGAAATGCAGACTCAAAGTTGAGTAAGTAGCCTTATGGAAAGCATAATCACAATGGAAGGAGGCACTCATGCTTCTCACTACATGCAAAGAGGTGATTCTGTGTGGACAGGGAACAGACTGAACCAAGAGTCCATACACATGGGCCACCCCACTGCCAACATATTTGGCTTGGATACAAAAATCCGAGGAGTCCTTGGATTTTGTAACTGAATTATTTACCGACTTTTATTCCCCAACATTACACCAACTTACAGCTGATTCAAGAACCATCGGTAATTTTTTGATGTCAAGTGTTGTGTTGGGTTTTAATCCAAATCTGGCAAAAACTCAAAAAACTCGTTTTTGACCAAATGCACTGTGGGATAAAACTATCACAATTGACATTTCCCTGCCCCGACTACACGCTGGGCTCTCACACTAGGCTTGTTACAAAAAAGTTGGTATGGAAACCCTTCATACTCATACTCCTCTTGCCCTCTTGCCCTCTCGACCTCTTTCTGTGGTTATCTACCCCCATTTCTCTATCTTGATTGCACCCCAATACCAAAAGATCTCCCTGCAACCTCAACACATTTTGTCTTTTTTCTTTTCACATACAATCAAATCAACCTCACAATTTCAATCTTCACCATGCCAAAGAACCTTTACAGCACCGACATCAAGCTCCTTGTTGTACGGATGGTGTTGCAAGGAAAGACGTTTCCCAAGATTGTTCAATCCACTGGAATTGACCTCTCACTCACCATGGTCCGTCGTTGGTTTGAGATTTTTCACACAACATGTGCGGTGGTGACCAATCCTCTGGATCACTTGCACCCTGGGGCACCTTCAATTCTAGGAGACCCTGAGAAAGAATTTATTTTGCAAGCCCTTGAGCTTGACCAAACTCTCACTACATGCAAGGTGGTGACGCCGCGGGTGCGGGGTCGCGCTGACCCCGGATCAACCCCCCGCTTTTGCAAGACCCCCCCTTGGGTTTTGTGCGGCGTCACCGCGACCCCACATCTGTGGGGTCAGCACTTTGCATGTAGTGTCTGTATCTTGATGAACTCAGGGACAAGATTCAAGAAACCTTTGGAAGGACGGTCTCCCTGGCGACGCTGTGCATGGAAATTTGACATCGCTTGTGTTGGACTAGAAAAAAAACCCGCACAGTTCATCCGAACCAATCTGCGACTGCCCGTGGTGCTTACATTGAAGAGATTGCTGGAACAGATCCGCAATGTCTTGTCTTTGCTGGTAAGCTGAGGTTCTGATGTTCTTGTTCCATATAAATTACACCAGGACTAATGTGTTACACTTTTCAGATGAAACAGCCATCTCGAATCGGTGGTTGTATCGCACTCATGCGCATGCACTTACTGGACAATGTACACCACGTCTCCAGAGGCCAACTCAGGCCTTCAGATGGTCAGCGTTGGCAGCCATATCCATGGATGGCATTGTGGCTGTGTGTGTCCAGGCAGGCGGCTACTCCAGGATGGATTTTGAGTCATATCTTGAACACAATCTGGTAATTGAATATATCTATTTTTTGGATTTCTTTAGCCGCATTTTGGATTAAATTGAAGATTTTTGTTACTTTACTTTTAGTTCTTGTATTAAACCAGACAATGCTTCCAAATAAAAGTCTGGGTTTTAACACTTCTGTGATGAGAGTCTTTGTCTCCTTTGGACTCATCCCGTGGTAGCATCTAAATATTTGGCTTAGTTGAGCTAAGGTCATTTTTCCTTTTTGGTGAAGTTTGTTGATGTGTGGTCCGAATGTTAGTTTTGGTTCTAGCCAAAGTCCTAACCATTGAAGTTCTATTGTCTTAGGCTGGAGTGCGTGATCTCCAAACATGATGCTTGGATTTAGGTGTTTCTTGTAGGTGAAGTGCATCAGTTGGGCTTTTTTCCGATCAAAAAGTCCTCTGTGTTGTCGCCCCCATTCTAAAGATTGGTCACCCTTGTCTTCTAGTTCCATGATGTTCAAATCAATGTCTTTGTTTGCGACCAGGTGTGTCACTTCATCTATGAATCCTAGAGATATTTTATTTGCCTGTAATGTGATTTCCACTTTTATCAGTAATGATAAATTATACAAGATAGATAACATTACCAATAAAGGTGACCCCTGTGGGAGTCCGTCATGTATATCAAAATCATCAGATAAGAAATCTTGCAATCTTAGTTTGGTGGTTCTATCCTTTAGGTACAAATCTATCTGATGTATTAAATAGTCTGGACATCTATTTGATCTGAGAATGTGTGCAAGTCTTCTTTTGTGAACTGAAGGGTAAGCAGACTTTACATCCAGAAATAGGCCTGATACCACTTTACCTTCCCTCCATTTTTGATGAATCCACAATGTCATTATTATAAAAGCATCATCTGTGCTATGTTGACATCTACCTCCCATGTGGCCCTGAGCTATCACCTGTTGGGTTTCAGCCCAATAGGACAACCTTTGAGCTAATTTTGTTTTGAGTATTTTTCCAATGCAACTCAGCATAGCAATTGGTCTGTAGGCTCCAGGTTCTGAGTAATCATCTTTGTTGTATTTCCTTAATATGGCCATTGTTGCTTTTCTCCATGCTTTTGGAAAGTATCCAAATTTCAGACATGTGTTGAAAAGTTGTGTTATTTTTGGAGTAAGGATCAACTTAGCTATTTTTAGGAGTTTGTTGGGTATGCCATCTTTGCCCTTTGCTCTCTTTGAAGGTAGCTTCCCTATTATCTGTTTGACCTCATATTTGGTTAATGAAGGGAATTCTAGTAGACCTGTTTGTGGTTGTGATGCCAGTATGTCATTTTCATCACATTCATTTTGTACAACTGAAGTTCCTTGAAATAGTATCTTAGCTTTTTCGTTTTTATCCGTTGCTAGCGTTCTATCTTATCTATACAGTGGCGCAATAGCGTTCAATCCATGTGGTTCTGTGTATTTGAAAGCTTTAAATGATAAACTGCCTTGAGTGTTAGCCAAAAACGCTCTCCAGTGGTTTTGTTTATGTTCATGTCAGGCTTTTGACATAGTTGTCCCATTCCAAATAGCACTTCTTGGCTCCACATGTTCTACTAAGAATCATCCATCTTCTCGCTCTATTCTTCTCGCGAATTGGGGGACCTATTTTCTCTTTGTCCCACCAGGCTTTGTGTCTGTGGGCTTTGGTCTTGACTGTTTTGCCCTGTCTGATGAAGGCTCCAATTATTGAATCTGTGATTTGTTTAATTCCTGCATGAATCTTGTTGGTTGTTTGGAAAATTTCTGGGAAATTACTCAGCTGATTTTCTACATTGTTGTGAAAACTGGCTTTGCCCATGTTTTCCAGGGTTGCCAAGTTATGGGTTTGTGGTTCTGGTATTGCTCCCAGTTCAATTCTGGTCAGTAAAGCTTGATGATCAGAGTCGTAGTTTTCATCAATTGTTAATCCTGTCACTTTGTGTTTTGCAAGCTCATGGTTAATCCACGTGAGATCAATTGTGGTTGCAGATCTTCCTGATTTTGAATAAAAGCTTGGTACATGTTGCTGAGAATTAACTTTGAAGCCATCAGAGCCACATATGTGTATAAGCTCCTTGGATTGTGGATGTGTATGTTGATAGTTTGTAGGGTTCCAACTTTGGTGGTGTAGATTGGTGTCCATGCCCATCACGGTAGCCTTTCTTTGATCTTTATATGTTGAGAGTCACTCTTTCAGGACTGGAATGCCTGTGTTGTGGCGTGGAGGGATGTAGACTGAAATTATTTGTATTTTTGGGATTATTCCATTTGGTATTGCCACTTCAACCACTGTTAGAAGTGGAGATCTACTAGGTAAAATTTTGATTAGCCATGACGGTATTTTTTTGATATGTAAATACCTGTTCTGATTTTGTCTCCATATGTTTTTGGTTTGTAATTGTAGGGTGATATTTTGTGCCATGCTGGATGTTTCATGAGATTCAGATTGTGTGGATTTATCCACAGTTCCTGTAATATCAAAATTGTGTACTTCTTGTCAGCTAGAATATTTTCTACTATTGTCTTTCCATTAAAGCAATTAAGTTGAGCAATTAATATTTTTGAGTCATCTGTGTGTGTTGGAAGGTCATCAGTCAGTATATTTTCCGGCGCTGTATATGATGGTCTCTGGGGTGGAATAAAAGATGAAAAAGGAGGGAAATGAAAATTCAGAACTCCGTGCATCCTGAACTTGGTTGTTTCTTAACATGATTGTATTGATGATTTTTGTAGGCTTTGTGATCAAATTGGGCAATTGGTACTTGAAGCTGAATGCACATATTTTTCATTGTTCTTGTCAATCTGGGTATCTGGGTTCAGTTGAGTGTCATGAGTAATACATCTCGCACAATGTGGACGTTCAGCTGGGGGAGTTAGGCACATTCGTGAATCATGGGTAGCACCACATTTCTTGCAAAGAAAATCATTTTTGCATTTCAGACTAATATGGCCTGTTTCCTGACAAAAAAAACATTGAACTTGGTTCTTTTTACATGCCCTCACCCTTAAGCTATTTCCATCAAAATAAACTGAGCCCCAAATCATCTTGTTTGTCAGCTCTTTATCTAATAAATTGACTAAAAATGAACCACTTGTCTGTCCAGGTTATGGTTTGCTTAGCCAACGGATTGAGTGAATTGTTGTTTCTGGGATTGGGTTCTGTTTGGCAATGACTTTCTTGATAATTTCTGTCTTGGGGTATTTGTCTTTGTCCATGGGAACTGAGTCTATAACAACTGGGAAAACTGCAGGTGATGTGATAAATTCACAGCTATTGTTGACCACATTGTTCTATTTTCAAGTAACCAGTTGGCCTCTGCTCGTGTTGTTGTGAAAAGCTTAATACTTCCTGAAGGCAGGCTTGCTGCTCCTTTGACTTCTAGTTTGTGTCCTATCATTACTTCCAGTTGACTTAAAGCCTGATTGACCCTTTGAACAATTTCTGTTGGTTTGACTCCATTGAAAGGCTTCTTGCCTTCAATTGCACAAATTACAACTTGACTCAGTCTGAATACGTTAATGATCTGATTAGGTGGCGGCGGTTGTGGTGACTTGTTTGACGTAATCTTCAGACCATTCATTGCTGCTGTTGCCCAGGTTTTTGGTTTTTCAGGTAGGCCGTTTGGGATAGGTTGTGGGTTGACTGGTTCTGTTTTGTTTTTAATCAATCCACGAAGTTGTCTTTCAAGGTTGTCTAATTGCTGAGTTGCTACACTTGACGCTTTGAGCTGGGCCTCAATTGCATTCATTTGTAGAGCCGTTTCTTTCATTGATAACAGCAACGCCGACATAGTAGGTACTAAGTTTGCCGGTACAATCACATCCCCATTCTCCTGTTTGTCTGTAAGTAGTTGGTCCCATAATTTATTGACGTCCATGCTTGCTAGACGGTGAGTAGGCCTCTTAGATGTGGTTCCAGTAGTTTTGGCATCCATTTTGATGTCAGTCTGCATTGCGTTATCAAACGTGTCTAACGTGTCCATTTTTGACAAGGTTGGATACGATCTTTTTGGTCGGGTGAGAAGGTGAGGATCAGGTGGCATAAGAGGATTCCAAGAGCTATAGAGAGGTGTTTTTGTTGATTTTAGGAAGGGTGAAGGTGGGTTGATGATGGTAGAGACAAATAGGAAAGACGTGATTGCACAGTCACTGCGCAAAAGTTAGATGTAGTGGTACAAAGTCAGAATTCCCCAATATGTTGGCAGTGTCTCCTTCAACTGTGGTGGCGCTGGATTGATCTTTCCATCTAGACCAGCTGCATCTGATTCATACAACTTCAAGCCTGGAGATCTACTGATTTGTCTTCCTTATCTACTCCAGGGGTCAACTATGGAATGAAGAATTTACCCAAGTCAGGTTGCCACACTACACTGATTCTGCAAACATATTGCAGCCAAGCTGAATCTGATCCAAGTCAGTGATCTCACCCGTATTGTTAAGTACCACAAGTTATGATCTTTTGCGGCTTTGTTGAGCTAATTTTGCGGCTGATAATGTATATACAACATCAGCACCCTCAAATCAGAGATCCTCGAAGGTTTCTCTGGGTCACCATCATATTTGGCAGGCAACTACCATACAATGCAGGAAGGAAAGCTTATTCAAGCTTAGCAGGAATGTCATCTTTGATCAAAGAGAGGTATGCACAATCTTGAAGATGCAAAAACCACTTCAAGAGCACAAGCAAACAGGTGAAGAGATGAAAATTGCCTAAACACTTGCAACAGGTTATTGATAGGTATCATCTCTGAGTCCTATAATAGCGAGAGATTTTAAATGTAAAACCTGAAGTCATTTTGATGTGTGATAAGACAGGACAGGTAAATGAAATACAAAGGCAGATTATCTTCTTCACAAAGACTATATATTGTTACATACTGTGCAGGAATTCTTTCTCAATAGCGAGGAAATTTGTGTGATGTTTCTTGAGATTGAATTCACGCGGTTGGAGCAGAAGCCTTGCAGTACTTCTTGTGTCTGTTCCAATCCTTCTTCTGACACGTAGCGTTGCAATAGAAGACACACTTGCATCTAGCACAATGTGAAAGCTCGGCCAAAGTACTTGTACCCAATTCAAGGCACTATAATATAATGGTGATATAATTTCATGAGTTAATCACACGTTGAAATGTCCGATATTGTTTGAAGTGAAGACTTACTCCAGAATGTGAGCAAACCATCGCATTAGGAGCACCCATCTTACGCCACTTAATTGATTGTTCATAATCACCTCGCATCTCAAAGATTTTACCAAGATTTTCGCGAGTACTGGGGTCTGAATGAAGAGGATTGAGTGCAATAACATCAAATTGAGGTCATCCGTAAGGAAGGATTGGTTTAAGCTGACTCTGGGTAATTATTTCAGCTGCCTCGAGCATCTTTTGCGCTTCGTCCAATCGACCCATAATGATGTAAATCTCCCCTAAAGTGTTCTTGTAGAGTGCCACCGTGCGCGTCTGTTCGCCATTGGTGGCAATTTCACGGTTCAATGACTCTAAAATATTTGCTTCTTGTTTCTTGAGAGGATGCTCTTGATCTTGTAAATTATAACTGGCGAACGTTTCTTTCGGGTTTTTGAACGTCATGATTTGATTTGATTGATCTGAGTTTTTAAGAACCAATGAATCAGTGGGAGCATCGGGGAATCGTATTTTCTGTTAAACTTAACAAAGTCCCACGCCTCGCGGATGCGCGAGCGTGGGACTTTGTTAAGTTTAATTTTCTGTGAGAATTCTCACGTGAGAATTCTCAGGTGATGATACAGCACGGCGTATAGACATCACCTAACCCGGAATAGCCTTGTACCAGGTGGGCCCGGGGATGCATATGCTGCGCGCGGGCTTGGTAGTACCGGGTGTCACACCTCCAGCAAGCCATGGCGTCGCACTCGCAGCTTCATTCAGCCTGAGATTTTTCATCTACAACGCGATTTAAACGACAGACGACCCTTACCCTTACCGAGCCAACGCCAAGAACTCAACAAACTGAAGGTTTAAATTTAAAACGATTCAAAATCTAAACCACGATATCAATGATACAACGGACTTAGCAGCATGGAAAAAGTCATTAGCAAATCCTATGATCATCACCATGAGAATAAAAACTCAGAGTATTACGTTCAAAACTTATGAATTAACTTGGGTGCCAAAGATTGTAGATTGCTCTTCGTTTTGAAAGAGAAATGAATTGAAAAATTAGCAAACTATTCAAGTCCATGAGTTAAATGAGATTGATCAAACTAAATGTGAAAAAATCAAGTAATTGAATCAAACCCCTTTCTCTTTATCTGCGTTTAATAAAATCTATATACTGACATGTGATTGACTTTTTTAATCAATGGAAGTAGGCGAAAGAGATTAGATGATAAGAATTAAAAAAGGTAAGATTGGGCTTCAAGTAATGATTCACTAAATCACACGCAAGATTTGATTGAAGGTATGCTGATAATTTGTAGTATCTATTATGTAATAGTATTACTTCGATCACTCTTGTCATACATTTCATTTGAGTGATCTTTTTGCTCTGGTCATATTTCTTTTCTTGATCAATCAATGCTTCTTTGTTATATTTGTTTACTTGATTCACCAATCTGTCAACTTATGAAGACACTACCAGGCAAAATGATAATGAACTGTCATGGTAAACAAACGCACCAAGACACCATAACCAGTAGCACTTCCTTGTTGAGCGGTGAGGGAAACTGACACGGATGGCTCACGTCGAAGTTGCAAATTGGATAGGTCTCGGTTGGAACATAGCTCAAGGCCTTGATCTAAAGCAAAATTCCGAGAAGTCTACATAGAGCAGATACCATCATGCTCAAGATTGGCCTGTACCTATCATTTCAAGACATCCACACTCATATCTTGGGTGTCAAGTTGTCCAAGACCCTTCATGTTTTGTTCTCAGATGAACAATGTGAGTACATGCCATTTTATCTGTGCATTGCCTGTGGAGAGTCAAGCACATGTCGGCGTAGACCCATGAAAGTGGGAAGATGGGAGCGGCCAGCTGACACCGCGGGAATTAACTCGTTCAAAACCCGATTGAGCAAAATTTCGGTGTCCGGGTTTGCAATTTCCTTGAATCGTGAAACTCGTTCACAACTCGTTAGCATCAGGTTCACTGATTTCCCTTGAGTACACTACAATACATACACATACACCGCACTCTCAAAACCTTTAATTCCGACCGTTCAACGATCTCACTCCTTATCTTGTCCCCACTGAACTCTTTTCTTGTATTTGGTTGATCAAGGCTTGACAAAGGAAGGTGAAGGTGAGTACAATGGTGAAAGGGGTTGTTGTTTTATCATGTGACTGCACATACACGGGGCCAGCAGAGTACAGAGTATAGCCCAAGGGAAATTGGCAAACCTAATGCTAACAAGTTGTGAACAAGTCTCTTGATTTGAGGAAATTTTGAACCCGGACACCAAAATTTCACTCAATGGGGTTTCAAACAAGTTAATTCCCGCGGTGTGACACGTGCTCCGCAGGCGGATTCCAAAAAGTGTGGATACAAGCATAGCCCTAAGGTTTTGTTATGTGTTAAGGTACATGTCTTAGCCGGGTCTGAGAATTCTCAGCGGAAATACAAAACCCGGACCAATCTCGATTTTTTTTACTTTTTGCCAATACAGGCAGATTTATAAGCACAAAATATGCCTATATGAAATTGTGAGTTTGACTCACCCTGACCCACCAGATCGTTCCACTGTTTACTTCAAACAGGACCCCGGAAAGCACTGAGTGATCATACTGACAAGTCGTCATACCGGCCCCGGACACACTTTGATTGGGTTTCTTCTTGAGTACAGGTAGGTTGAGACAATGTCTTGAGTTTCAACAGATGCCCCTAACCCAGGGCTATTGATTACATATACTTCCTATTATGTACCACAGGAAATACCGAAAGATATACACATGTAGGTACCCGGCCCAATATGGTATGAATACTACATGAGCCTTGGGGAAAAAAGTTAGAAAATGCACATTTGCACAGCCACCAGACATGCTGGGAGTCTCCAATGTGTGTCATCTGATAGCCCATATCTGTGCGCATCTTTTGCACATGTCACCGTTCTGATACCCTGCTAGACGGTTTCACAAGGTGATGGTATCCAAAACCATCGTTTCGTTGGTATGATCACTCAGCGCTTTCCGGGGGCCTCTTCAAACCATCAAACCTGTCCTCACCGCCATTCCCTCATCCTCACACCCTTTGATCCAGCTCAATCACACTTGATCATTCATTCTATTGGATCTGGACACGTAATGTGAGTTTTGACAAGGTCCTCTTGGTTTTGAAATCAATCTCACTCTTTCTTTTGGTTTTGTTTTGACTGCTTAGCTTTGATCTGAATCTTGATTCAACCCTCTTGTTGTCAATTGATCTCTTTGCTTTTAATGACCAGTGTAGGTCCTTTTGTGTTGATATTCAAGTTGATTCAAGAGTACATGACACTGTCACAGACACCTACAGATACATTTAGACATGCACTGTTTTTTCTCTCCTCTCAATCATGATGAACTGAAGTATGTTTCCTTTGAAGCCTACTCTGAGCTCAGATCTTGTACATCCTTGTTGAAGATATTTGCATGTAACTAGACTTGAACAGTAAAATTTGGAATGAAAACCCCTTATCATGATTGTTCCTTGCTTGCTCTCAAACTTCAGTATGGAGTATGTATTGTTGGAGATTTGGTAGGGAAACTGTTTGAACTGTCCATACAAGACTTGGGGTCAGAGATGTTGAAGCTCTGCTCATCTGTGAAGACCACTATTGCACACAATCTTCTCTTTTTGTCCCATGGTATTTGTGCATTTGGAAAGTGATCAAAACACCACTGGCAAAGGCTATATTTCAAAGATCCTATTGTAATGGAAAGGGTAACTGACAAATTTGGAGCAAAAAAAACACTGAAAGGTGGATCTGATGAGTTATCTTTTATCAAAGAGAGGCACACATGGTTTTGAAGATGCAAAACCCACTTCAAGAGCGCAAGCAAAAAGGTGAAGAGATTATATTTGTCAAAACACTTGGAACGGGTTATCAATGCGTGTCATCGCTGAGTTCTTCACATTATATATCAGCAAGATAATTTGGATGTAAAATTACCCGCTAGGTAAAATACAAGGGCAGATTATCTTCTTCACAAAGACCAACTTTTACTGTGCAGGATTTCCCAACTGCAAATAAGATTGTGCAATGTGTGTCAAGATCAAGGTAGGCATTCACATGGTTGAAGCAGGAGCAACCCTGTGCCAGCAACGCAACACGCCGCAGCACACCCGTTTTTTGATGCGTTGCTCCACAACACGCAACACCAACAAGCAGCAGACACTGCGTTGCGGGAAGTACCGCAACAACAAAAGTCAAGGCTAGGCTGCGCGGCGCCTTGACAGTTGCGCAACGCAACAGGCGCAACAGCGCCAAAAAAACATTGATTTGTAAGTTTTTGGTGGCAGCAACGCAACAAACGTTGTTGCGGCCCAAAAAAACCACCAATCTGAGTGATCTTGTTGCGCTGCGGGTCAGGCCGCAACCTGAAAATTGATTCTACGGTGCGGTGCGGTCAGAAAAACCGCAACGCAACCACAGCGCAGCACGCAACACCTGCGTTGCTGGCCCAGGGTTGGCAGGAGCCTTACAGTACTTCTTGTGTCTGTTCCAATCCTTCTTCTGACATGTGTCTCTACATGTGGCTTGCAAACAAAAATCACCAAAAAAAATGCACACATGACACCAATTTTGTAAACAGCTGTATTCAAGATGTAAATACTTGAAAAAAAATTGATTTAAAATTCTCAGTTAATTGGGATCATCTTAACTTGAGTCACATATGATCATGATTAGATTTTCACTGTTTTATACTTTTGGCCTTGGTTTCTCTACCAAGAAAAAAGTATGTAGCCAAAAGTATGTACATACTTGTTTTGAGTACCCTGAATGTTTAAAAAGTCAATCAAATTCAAATAATAAAACCAACAAACTCAAACCAAACTTTGGTGTTCAGTAAACCTCCCTCAGGCTCAACACACCCCAAAAGATACATTCAAGTGATTTTCATTCATTTGAAAAAACCCCACCAAAAAAAAAACAAAAAAAAAGTCAAGAAAGATAACCCCCAAAAAAACCAAAAAACCAAAGACTAAAAAAAGACACAGATGAAGAAAAAAAAATGTTCCTTTTTTTGTATATAAATTGTCTAGTATGTAATAAGAAAAACTTTTAAGAAAATATAAAATGTAAACCCATTTAAAAAAAACTTTAAATAAATCTATATACTTAAAGAAATGTTCTACCCGACTGTCTCCTTGCCTCAGCCTTAATTTTATATCCTTTCCTTATGCTCACTCCCTATGCCCTATACTGACATATACCACGTCTCTACATGCTTCCCTTTGCCAACTGTCCAGAACACTCAGCCTTCATATCCTCATTCCCGCTACTGTTCCCTTTACAACCCTATACGAAGTACTTCTACTAGTGCTGTACCCTGTACTTTTCCGCTAACCACGCTGATTGGCTCAGTATCTCTACAGTCCTATACTAGACTCTCTACCCTCTACCTCTACCCGTTATACCCTGCCACTCCTGCTTCCTGTTACCCCATTAGCACGCCGTAGCTTGCATCTTACGGCCATTTCGTAGCCATGTTTACACCGTGGCAGTAGCTATTTACAATGCACTCTTTCCGTTTGCCACTCTCTCACACAACAAACCTGCTTCAGCCAACTTAGACCGATAATTACTTGCCAGGCATCGGATGTCAAAAGTTATGTGCAAACAAACTGCCCAGTCTGTCCTGCAAATGGGCGGACCATGACGTTATCCTGCCTACATCGCTTAGCTTGCACCGTGGCTGAAAAAACACGGGCTCTGTTCCTCCTAAATTTAGTATGGCCTGCCATTCCCCCTCCTTATCGTCTCAACTTCAGACTTTCAATATTCATTCCCAATTTTTACCAATTTCTATTCAATTGGTTCTACAAATCGATTTCCACCCACTCGATCGATGGAAACTGCTGATTCCATCAATCGCTTCTCCCCCATACCATCTGACTTTTGACAGTCCTCACTACGGTTACAGTACACTCGGCACTTCTGAAGAGTATCAAACTTCTCAAAACTGTGACCGCTCTGTTCATTCACGACTCTACTATTATAAATTACTTCTTAATTACATCAACTAATAAGTCCAATTCTTACATTACGGACCCTTAAGATATCCTAATTCAAGAGGTAAACTTTCAAATCAACCGTTGTCAGCAAATCGATCCGAAGATAATTTATATTCATTCCAATCAAATGGATTTCCAATCAAATCTGATTTTAATTCACTTGAAATTGAAATTCATACTTAAAATTGATTTACTGCATGTCTATTTGTAGCCAATCATAGATGTGATAGAGTTGTCACAAATATCTTTCAAATTGATTAAAAGAAAATGAAATTCAAGGCCAACTTTTACTCTAACTCATTCATCACAAGATCACTGAATACTCCTAACTTAAATGTAGCTCTAAATTTGAATCCTTTATCAGTCACTAAGGATCATTTCATTTGTTGCTGTCAGTATTTTACTTTTGGTCCTTTACTTCATAGCATTGAAGCTTTATTCTGCTTGGCAGGTGGGAATGTGATTTCATGAAAATCTGGAGATCATGGTAACAAATCTGCAAAATTCAAAATTAATCTACCAGAGTACTGACTTTTGCTAATGGAATTTTTGGAATATAGAGTGGTTTGAAAAAGGAGGATCTTGAATTGGTTTCAATTAATTAAAGAAAATGTAATGTCCATATGTACATAATTTTTTTTGGTGTATTTTATTGATTGTGTTTTGAATAACATCATCCAAAGAACTGGAATGTATGTTTTGAATTGATATGATCATAAAAAAAAGCTTAACATCAAAATTTTAAGATGTTATTCTTTGAATAATACATTTGAATAGGATTGCATAGAGAGAAAGGTACTAAGCTGTATGGAGCTCCAGGTTGCAATTGATCTGTTTACACATGATTACTTGAGGGTTTAGGTCCTTGAATATATCATTTTTTGTGCTGGATTATATGCATTCTGAAAAGATTTAAACTCACAGTGTAAATGAATTTATAAATAATGTGTCCAGGTTTCAAACAAATTGATAAATGTGAGAGAAAGGAAAGAATTTCAGAGATTCACAAGCAGTATGTGCCCAGGACAACAAATTGAATTGAAAAGAGTGGATCCAAAATTCATCCTAAGAGATGCTAGAAGCTTTTCAAGAAACATCAACACTCACCAACAGCAAAAGTCAAAGTTCAGAAAAAATGAGGTGCAGCTTGAAATTGATAATCTGGAGGCCTGCCTGGTATGTTGGCACAGGGCAGTCACAAGATGGTACCAGAGGGTGGCGGGCCACCCACTACTAGAGGGTGGCAGGCCACCCAGTACCTTGTCAAGTTTAAAAGAAATGTAAACAAGTTCAACAACATGAAAAAAAATGTATCTGATTTCATCCCCTCCCCTCATTTTCTTCCTTTCTCAACACAAACAAACAAACAAAACCCAAAGACACACATAATTCATGTACTACTCACCAGAAAAAAAAGTTAAACAAGTCAACAAAAAAAAATTAAGAAAAAAACCCAGAGGTTCCCACCCTTCCCCAAAAAAAAAGAAACAACAGAAAAAAAATCATCTCAAGAAAAAAAAGAAAAAAAAAGGAAACGATTGATTGGTTGATTGATAGATTGATATTTTTTTTCTAAAAACAAAAATTAACTATTTAAAACTAACAATTCATATTGATCAAATTCAAACTAATTTTATGGTGTTGGATTTTAGATTTTCTCTTCTTGATTTTTAAGGAAGAAATTTTTCTTCACTTCACCAAAAAAAACAAAACCAAAAAAGATTATCAATTTATTATCAAAATTTAAAAATTCAAAAAACAAAAAAAAATGAAAAGTCTTTCTTTTAAAAAAAAAACTAAAACCAAAAAACCCTAATAACCCCTTTTGATCACTTTTCTTTTTTTGATTTTCAACCCATTTTTCATTAACCAAACTCCAATCTAACCCCCCCTTAGGTTCATCCATCTATCTCTTCTATAACATCAAAATTGTTTTTTTTTGCCTTCTAATTAACCCAAACAATCTTCCCCACATTCTTACCGAGTTTTCATTTTGATTTTTCATTTTCAAATTGATTTTTTCCAATCACATCAGATCAGCCTTTTTTTGTTGGTTTTAGTTTTGGTTTTGGTTTTCGATTCAAAATTAAATTCCAAACACTCTAAAGAAAAATAATCTAAACCTTTCAAACAGACTACCTTTCCAATTCTCATCTCTTTCAAATACCGAAACCTTAATCAATCCATGACCTTCAATCTTTCTCATCTTTTCCAACTCGATTTCACCTCCTTTTCCTCCACCTGATCCAGATCCAGATCCATTCTTCCCTTTGGATGGATTTGCAAAATTCATATTCAATCTAGCCGTTTTACATTTGATTCTAATAAATTCGGGAAAACATTCGATTAATTCTTTGATTTCTGGATTACTTAAATAAGAGGGAGATCTAAACGTTCGAATCTCAGTCGGAGGTGGTGCGTCTAATGAGTTTTGAGTAGGTGATCGTTTATGAACCGGTGTACTACTTGAGGTAGAAGCATTACTCAAAGGTAATGGATTAAGTTGTGGTGAATGTAATGCTTTAGGTGTAGTCGATCCAGATGATCCATGATGAATCAATCCTAATCCAATGGCCGTCGGATTAGTATCTTCGACTGCAGGTGAAACAGTGATCCTTGGTGAATTATGATTAGTAGGACTAGGATCTGAAAACGGATCAGAGATCGCTCGATCTCGTCCTCCTTCTCCTTCTGTTCCTCTTCTAAACAAAACTTCTTTTCCTTTACGACTTCCGGCCGATCTAACGAATTCTTCATCTTCCATTGAAGGTGAAGACAAATCTGCAAACGGTCCTTCTTCATCTTCATCTGTCATTCGACCGGTGCCTTCTTTCGATTCCATAGATGTCAATCCAATCTCTTCATCTACTTCTAGCTCTTGTCTTTCTTCTAATGTTAATCCATCATCTCCATCTGAATGTCCGATGATCATATCAGGTGGTACATCTTCATCTTCATCAGGATCAAACAATCTTGATGAAACAAACGAAGGTGCCGTCAATGGTTTCAAATGATCTTCAAATCCAAGTACCTGAAAGAACACATATCAAGAAAGATCAATTTCGAACAAATCAGAAAGTAAGATGGATTGAATGACTTACGCCTTTTAAAAACTCAATACTATCTCTCAAAAACGGTTCACCTCCTGCTTCACAAAACAAAGCCAAATCGATATCCCATTCAATCCTTCGTTTTCCTGAACCTCCCTTTCTAGCTGGTATAATAAGCAAATGAAGCACGGCACAGAGAGAACTAAAAAAGGCTGTTATAGAGAAGTAGAAAAAATGATAGTTTTTTTGAAACTTTATTAGAAATCACGGATTTATATCCTCAGTGAGAGCGAGATGAGAGATAAGGATGAGTTGGTTGGTGATGAATGTGTAGATGAAGAATGATGAGATCAGATCAACAAAGCCAACAATCAGATGATTGAGGACACGGAAGATGATAGTTGGCATCCTGAAAAACACGCGAGACTTTAAAGATAAAGCACGAATGATAGAAGAAAGAATAGGAGGTAAAAGATTTTCCAAGAAGAAATGAATCGAAAGCGGTAAGAAAACGAAGAAAAAAAAAACTAACGATGAACCCCCACCATATTACGAACACAATGAGCCATAATGAATTTCTGTAATCGATCTTTCCTCTCTTGTCTTGCTCTAGGAGATCTCATTGCACTTAAACTTGAATCATTACCAACTGACTTGATGATCAAAGAAGAAGGTAAAGTTTCAAGTAAAAGTTTATCTACTTCTGCTCTACGTGAACTTGCTGCATCTCTATGAAATTGTGATCTGATTGAAGCCATCTGTTTTGTAAACCTAATGATCAAACAAGAATGATTTACAGATCAGAGGATGACCCGAAATAAGGAGATGAGGATGATCACTTACGCAGCTTTAGAAGCCGCCGGTAATTGTTTAATGATCTGTTCGACTGATTTAGTAGCGTTTTGATCAGCTTCATAAAACATCTTCTTACATTGTTTAGAGAAATGATTAAAGAGTTGAGGATCTTGATGAATGTTTTGATTGGTGATGATAGGATGATTAGGGTTCTGTTTTGATTTTGAATGATGAGTGGTGGTTGAATTAGTAGAATGAGTAGGAGATGAATGATTTGAATTAGATGAAGGAGGTGAAGTGGTTGAGATAGGTGAAGGTGGTAAGAGAGTGATGGTTGAATTAGTTAATGATAAGTTTTGTAATGGTGATTGAGGTGGATAATCAATGATGATATTCGATTTAGGATTCAGATTAGGATTAGTAGTGTTAGAGTGGGTGGTGGAGGTGCTGATCGAATTGGATATCATGGTTGGACTTAATGGATGATGATGATCTGGATTCATCTTGATGTTTTGATTGGTTGGTTTGGTTTGATTGATATTGAAGGTAAAGGTTGATTTGATGGTCTTGGATATAAGTAAGTATCTGATGATGATGATTTTGATTTACTGGATTTGATTTGAAGAGTCGATTTGAATTTTATTTTCTTATTTTCTTCTTGATGATGACTGTGAGTGTGAATGATAATTAAATTTAAATTTAGATTGGGGGTCGACCCAAAAAGGTCCAAAAAATCAAATTGATATTGAAGTTTTTCAAATTTTCATTGGGCTTTTCTGACAAAATGCTGTTTCAAATTCTTGAACGTTCTAAAGTTTGGATTGCGTTTAGAAAGGTTTCATCCATCACCATCAATTCACCATCAAAAGATACTCAAACTCATCTGACTCTGAGGCTCTGAGCTCTCTGAGGGTTTTGAATAGTTTTGATTTCCTAAAATACCCTTATTTATACACATCCTACCAAGCGGTTTTCATTAAACTCATCAGAGTCCCACGCTGTCGCTCGCGACCGTGATGAGTTTAGGTTTTCATCAAAATCCGGTTTTCATCAAACCGTAACGCACTTTCAAAATTCAAATCATCATGATCCACCCTATCTGTCGGATTTCCATCTTTTCCATATATCTCCCTACACACTTTGGACATCTATCAACTTCAAGTTCCATGACGTACGTATCGATACATGCATTTCTGAGTTTCTTAAAACTGCGCTTTTCATCAATCTTCATGCTTACCTTCAATCGTCACGCTCACTGAACTCTGCATCTTGAACTTCTTTGAGTCTCTTTAATTACCAAGCAAGTTTCCGACCAAAAAAAATGGACCAGGCGACTGTACATGTCTGGTTTTCCACTTTGAGAGTGGTTTTTGGATTTGGGAGCAGTAGAAAAATGTTATGCTATTGGATATCACTTGCTTACCTGTCCAAACCCATACTTGATAATTAAAATCTTCCAAGCAAAACGCACTCCCTGAGATTGCCCTAGTGAGCTCAATGAATGAGTTTAAGAGTAGACTTGGTGTTGGAAAGTAGTGAGGTACGTGGCTAGTGTCTATGAACTTGGTTCTATACTGAGACTATTCATCTTGTGATTGATATCTTTTGTGGTTGATGTACACCCTCAATCAGCCAGCTCTTCACTAGGATAGTAGAAAGCTCATCTTAAAATACCCAACACCATGGATTTTGTTTCAAACATCTTTTATACATCCACAGATAAACTAACTGACAAATCTTTTTCTAAAGCACTAATTGGGATATTTGCATACAGTACAGTATCTGAACAATCCAACTGAAAAGACTGGAGAGTTTTTTGTTTGAAACAGTTCCAAGTAAGTTAATCTGGTGCTAAGTATAATGGCTCTTGGTAAGTATTTAAGATTACATAGTGTAGTAAATGTTGTAGTGTACATTGGTTCTGCCTAGCCCACCATGCAGATCCCTCTATCTACTCTTTTGGGCAGAGCCCCCCCCAAGAAACCAAAACCTCTCTTAAGAGGGAAAGTTATGGTTTGCCTAGGGCACACCAGCTCAGTTAGAATATTCTACCTATGAGATTTGCAATAATGAAAACTGGACATCTATAATCTAGATATTGTGGAAGTTGAGTGCAAAACAAATTTAGGGGTTTGGTAGTGTTTGGTAGGCTAAATTTATAGATGATCATACCACACATGATTTGGTCAACAGTCTCATAATATCAAGGATATTTGTACAAACTCTTTTTTTAAATTTGTCCCAGTTAATTAGAGGTAATTCCATACATAAGAAGGGGACTTGTTTGAGGGTCAGTGACAATGGGACTAGGAATTGTCCATGTCCATGTCACAACCTGGAACGCTCCTGTTGTGACAGGAGTTCACGCTCGGCAGCGCTGTAAGGGATTGATGCAATAAGCATGATTCCCTCCAGCAATGGTTTTGCCCTGGATTAGGAAATCCTACCAGGCATGTGTCACGTAAATTTGTGTGGTGAGTTGTACAAACTCTTTTTTGAAATCTTTCCCAGTTAATTAGAGGTAATTCCATACATAAGAAGGGGACTTGTCAAATTTTGACCTCTTCCTGTACTGGCACAGCTGTTCATACCACCTTTTTTCCTTTCCACTCCCCCTGATCTCATCTCTTGTTTTCTCACTTCAACTCCAGCTCATCTTGTTTATTTTTGTTTTCATTTGTTTGATTTCATTTCTTTCAACTACAACTTGTTTTGGTTCTTTCTGTCAACTTCTGATTCCATCATCTTTGATTTCAACTCTATCAGCTCTATCAACTCACTCAACTATGGAAGCCACCACCACTGTTTTTTAAGTTCAGATTTTGGTTTTGAGTTTTGACATTCAAATTTTGAACTTGTGAATACATCAATCTGGTACCAAGAAGGTTGATCAACCTCTGACTGGATTCATCACACTGATCACTTGTGACCTCTTGAGAATATCCAACAGGGTTTATAATCTCACTTGGTTCTCTCAAACTGAACTGTTGCAATCAACTAGAGCACACAAGAGAAATGCAGAAAGGGTAAGACTAGTATTTCATAACATCACACTACAGACTAAAAACCAAGAAAGAAACCACCTACCTAGAGTGCACAAGAGAAATACAGAAATGGTGAAGAGAGAGACCTTTCCTGGTGTGGCTCTAGGTAGTACATATATATACAAGGTTTTTTATGTAAGTCTTCTGTAACAAATAAGTAGAACACACATGATCAAAGGAAGGATTGAATTATATGTCAAGAGAAAAACTAGAACATAGACAGATGATCTGATGTGAAGTAGAGTATGAACAGGAGATTGGATGTGAGCAAGGATGGTAAGCAGTTGCACATCAATCATGAGAAATAATGGAATACATCAACACTAGCTAGACATTGGTGTGAGTATTCCAACATGGATATCAATCAATTCTCACCCTCTATCCTCAGCAAGATCCACCCAGTCTCTTTGATCACCTGATTTTTTTTGCAACTCTACAATACTACAACTGCACACTACATTTCTTGGCTTCTTTACTCAACTCTATCAACTCAAAACCAGCACAATGCCAACAACCAAGTCAACTTGAAAGGCTGAAGCTGTCAAACTTGACGCTCCACACTTCAACCACCCCAAGACTTGAATTATTGTTGATGCTTTGATTATGCAAAGGCTTGCCAGGAAGAAGTCTGGCTTGAGATTCAATCCAAAGGCCTGGAATGTGGTGATGACTGATTAGAACGAAGCTTTCAAGTGTAAACTTAAGAAAGGCTAGATCAAGTACACCTTTCAAACAGTGAGTTTTTTGCGTTCTTTTCTATTTCATTTTTTTCATTCTTGTTAACTGATTCCTTATTTTATATGACATAGTTAAAGAAGGCATACTTTGGCTTTCACAAGTTGATTGGGTTTTGGTTGGAACAAGGAGACTGAGATGGTCATCATTGAGCCAGGCTTGTGGCCCAATTACAGATTGGTTTGTTATATTCTGATTGAATCTAGACAAACTCTCTGTTGACTACATTCATTTTTCCACATTTGTAGAAGAACAAGGGCTCTGCCCTCTACAAGACAAACCCCTTTCCACTTTACAAATTCAAGAATGAGTTATGTGATGACACCAATGCAGCTGTATCATCAGAACTCATATCCAACCTAACCCCAATGACAACCCATCAGTTTTACATGACCCTGGCCCCAACCCGTCAGCAGCCAACAAGAACAATCCAAACATTCATCTCAATCTTGATGGCCATCAAGAGCACAATGATGATGATGCTTCAAATTATGATGTTGATTCTAATAATGATGATAATTTTGAGGAATCTTTCTGTCTTCCTCCACCCTTAGAATCATGATTGATTGGGTCTCACTTCAGGGTAAGTCTTTAAAAAATTCCATTTTGCTCTCATGTGATTGCTAGCATGAACTGATTCAAGTTGAGCCTTTTGAATCTATCAAGTTTGCCATTAGAAGATGCTAACCCAACCACCAGGATGATCAATCTCACAGCAAGAATTCAGACAATAAGTCTTATGAATGCATCACCCAAAACTCTAACTTGTCAACTATCAAACGTGGTGCCTTGGGTAAGAATACTGCTGGACATATTGGACCAAATAGCAAGGGCAAACTAGTGGCCTTGTTGAACACCTCAGGCAATAGACTCAACCCTCAATCCACCCAATCAATCAATCAATCAAGAAACACTCAGAGCAAACACTGTTGCTGCTCATGATGCTGTGAAGGAAAAAATCTTAGAGACTCAAGCTTGCTTGGATCAGCAGATGATGACCCTCAAGGCTCAAAAGGCACCTTCCCAATGCAAGACTATGAAAATTTTCAAACCCAACAACAAAGATCACTTTACTGACATGGATTCTGTTGGTTATTGTCAGCCCTGAGTACATATACATGTACCCAAAAATAACTTGAAATATAAAATGAGCATATAGAAACTTAATTACAGATACATACAGTCTATGAACTGTATATAACATGTAAAAAGTATATAAAAATACTTATTACATATACATGTACCCTTAGAATACCATGTAATATGTAATAACACATCAAGTACACCTCATGACTCAATTACGGTACTCAAAGTTGTGTATACTTTGCTGTGCATAGTTTTCTTTTCTTTTTTCACAACTTCACACAACCAGGGAAAACTATGTTTTTGGCTTCAAAGTACATATCTTTGAGCTTCAATCAAGAAACATACTTTTTCCAAGTTGTTTGTAGTTGCAAAAAAACACAAAAAATCTATGCACGGCAAAGTATACACAACTTTGAGTACCGTTAATGTCAAGAGTTAGTATGCTTATAGTACATAACACGTACTTAATATCACTATGTATAATTAATTACAAACAATAATGATAATTGATTATCAATGATAATTTCTAAACCATTGTAATGATAGAAACAAATATCACTTCAGTTAGGTTTAGAGAAGAGAGTATATAAACCTCTCCTCTATCAGCCTGGAGAGATTTTCCCCAAGCTTTTATTACA